AATTACATGATGTACTTTAATTAAAGCTAGTTGGCATTTCTGAAGTCCTGGGATAGACAACACACAGTATAGCCAAAATGTCACAGTGCCAATCACAAGCGAGTACATATAACTTGCAATGTGAATGGGACATGGGACGAGGAATATGATAATGTTTTCAATCAGTAATGATAGTCTCCTGTACCCAATATCAGAACTGATTCAACAAGTCACTGAGGCATTGTAAATTGGGACCAAATGTGCGACAATGACTGGTGAGAAGCTGCATAGAAGTATCAATGTAAGACTCTTACTTTACAATTATACAGTAATACAAATTTACACGTATCCCAAAGCACTTAGCAATCATTGGGAGGGAGCCGAAGGAGGTGTAGAAGAGAAATATGACCGAAAGCGCGATCACAGTGACAAGTACAATGAGTAGAGAGATTTTTCACTCCATCGGTTTGGACTCTGTGTGATGCCAGCAGGTGCCCAAGGTGAGAGGACAATGTGTTCACGCCATGTATGGCTGTGTGCTGTTTAAATGTGCAATGGAAACACTGCTGATGGTTATAAGTTGTCTGCCTTCTACCATGTGTTCATTGGCAATGTGACCATAAAGGTAGGTTCAACTTCACGATATAGCGAGAGGAAATGCTGAATGCCACGTATCATTCTCATTTGGCAATTGGTCATGTAATAAAGGGGAGATAAGCTGTTTGAGAGGGTGCAAGGGCAAATGCGAACAATACAATAATTTCAGACAGGCACTTATTGATAAAAAAGGGCATATGTTTGATATCACTGTGGTTAGACAGTATTTGATATCATTACACTTCTAAAGCAGTCTGATATCACTGGATAAACAGCTGCATGACGTCACTACACTTAATCTGGACCAGATATCACTGAGGATATACAGTGGTCAGATATCACTGCAATACACCTCTGTTTTCCCAGCAGTAAATAGGAACCAGCTTGTTAGTTGATTGGGATTGGCAAATCGTTTTCTGGGGGTAATAATTCCTCATAAAAAATTGCTCACTCAATCCACGACTGTGTTTGAGACACCGCTGTGCTAAATCGGCTGCCGTGTTTCGCCCACAGAATACACAATCAATCCACTTTACAATATATTCTGTCTCAACGATGTAATAAGGCGCTATATCAGATGCAAGGATTATTATAATATACAGTGGTCAGATGTCACCTCAATTATACAGTGGGTCAGATACCACTATAGATATTCAGTGGGTCAGATACCACTACAGATATAGACTGGGTCAGTTATCACTACAGATATACAGTGGGTCAGTTATCACTACAGATATACAGTGGGTCAGTTATCACTACAGATATACAGTGGTCAGATATGATTGTAGATCTACATTGGTGGTTGCTGGATATCCCCAATAGGTGGTTTCTGATCCACCAGCAGGTGGCACCAAATACCAGGTCAAAGCAGATGCCTCAGTAATGTGTTCACCTCCAGCACAGCCTCACAACTTACTATCTGAAGGGCAAAGTTTTGTTTTTTTCTGTCAATTTTTTCGCCCACCTTCCCTAAAGATCATGAGATATACAGATGAAGACCTTTTGGCCTATATGATCTCAGTTTTCCAGAATACCCTTCCTGCTGTCCTTGCAGTACATTATCAAGCTGATTATTGAAACATGTTTTGACTGCTTTTTTCTTTTACTCAGGGACAGATCAACAGGCACCAGATGCTCTCTGTACCTCATGCAAGCCTTGACAGCTGAGTGTTGGCAGCTCTTTGACAGTGATGAGTATCACAGCTGAGCCTGATCCTCACCTCATCCACACAACTATTACCTTCCAACAGATGTCTCTGTACAACAAGGTCTCCCTAAACCAGGGCCGCTGATTACATTTGCAGCACCACAGTTGCTGCCGTGGCAGAAATGAGCTAAATCAACACAGGCCAAGGATTGAACTTAACACTTGAAGATTTCTGGTCCAAATACAATACAATTTACATTTATACAGCGGCTTTTATGTCAGGAGGACATCTCAATACGAAATACCGCTGCCTAGGCACCTCAGCTTGGGTGGGTGGGTGTGGGGTGGGGGGGAGTTGGAAGCCAAAGAGGGCAGGAAGGAGAAAGATGACCAAGATACAGACCTTAAATGAGGTGAGGGACTGAGCAAATCCAATTCCACCCTGACCCCCAGCTTGGGTCTGTAACTCTGTCTGTCCAGCGCCTTGAGACGTCCTCCTGACGTAAAAGACGCTATACAAATGTAATTTTTTTTGTTGTTGTTCCAGAGGGCCAAACAGACACTTTACCAATTTACACAGAGAACAGTACCCAGAGATGGTGAATGGACAAAGCTGCTGCATTTGCTCAGTGGAAGAGAAATGGAAAGTATTGAGGCCAATGCATCTTCAGAGCCTGCTTGGTGGTGTTTTGCCATTTTCAGAAAATGACCCACAAACTCAAAGCTGATTGTCAGGCCAGTACAGTACCAAACTGGTTATTGAATGGTGTTTATGACTCCCGTTCTCTTTTACCAAGGGACAGATCCACTGGCACTGCGTCATGTTAATTTTATAAAATCACTCTCAGGACCCAGTCAGTCGGAGGCAAGTTAATACAGAAGAACTGAAAGACTGAATCACAATGTTTGCAACATTTTTGGATAAACGAACCAATGTATCCAAAATTTGATCGATTAGAATAACATCTGATTCAAATCCGTACTCCAAATCTTAAAATGAAGAAAATAAAGCTGTAGGAAATAACTGAACAAGGCTGGGAACAGGCTTTGCTGCTGTGGCTTGACAGCTAAGATTAAAGTAACAGATCTGGACAGTCCAGCGCTGGTGGACAACTGTGGTTGTGTAACAATTCAGTCAGGTGTGTCAGGTGAGATGTAATGATAGATTCCAAACAATGCCAAACAGATAACAGAGCAGTGTTTATAGCTTCAGACCAGATAGTATATATTCAAACTGTGAAGTTCGTAACACACAATGGAAAAATCCAGGAATAAAATCATAACAGAAGTAGACAACCAGTGAATAAAGGTTGTTCCCTGAGCCAGGTGTAAGAGTAGATAAACTGGTTCCCATTTACTATACTGTCTCCACTTTAAAATAAGGACAGAATTAAAGGGCTGATCCAGTGCCTGGTGCTTTAAGCAGTTTCCGTCTCCATTCCTTCAGCCAGGCTTCCCCTGGTCTTCTTACCAGTTGAGTGTTGTATCTTTAACCCGACTCTGGCCAATTGCTGTAATTTTGAACTGTTAGGATTCTGCCCTCTGTGTATGATATCTGAAGAGATGGGGAGCACAGTAAGCATGATGTTTGAGAGGGTTCAGCCCTGCAGTATCACACTGAATAATCAGAAGCAAGCTGTTGGGGCTCAAGGCACAACTCACAATAATACTGATAATACTGGTGTTTAACTGATTAGTTTTGACGGAATGCTAATTTTGTTCCAGATCTCTCCTAGACCTCAGCTGACAAAGAACACAAAGGAGTTTGGGGAGATGCTCAAGAACTACAGGACCCAGAAACATGAGCTGCTCTCAGTATAGCAGGTGATGGGAGTGCGGCAGCTAATTCTGAATGATTACAGCGAGTACATCTGCCAGACTGAGGGACACCAGGAGGATGGAAACAGGCTCAGCAGAGATTTGGCTTGGAGAGCTGAGCAATTGTTGCTGAAGTAAACAGTATATATGGTCACGAGAGACAACTGGAGGTAATACTAAATAAACAGTGGCTAGAAGTACAGATGGTGTCGAGATCCACCAAAAAGTGGCAGACGTGTTGGACTAAAGGGCTTCTTGCCTAATCTTCAATATTTTTTGCTAATCGTACAAAACTAAGACACAATGAAAATGATATACACATTTATACCACTCAGGAAGAATTCCTATTCCTTAGTTAACAGTAATCTACTATCAACTGTCTGAATATTCCCTGACTTTAGCACAATGTTTGGATCCATTAGTGTAGTGGTTATCATACTCACCTCGTAAGTGATAGGACCCAAGTTGATTCTGGGGCGTGATGAAGCCTGAGGCAAGTTTCCTTACTCCACACACCTGTTTACCTAGTTGTTAGTCGATTGGCGGATTGCTTTCTGGAGGTAATAATCTCTCAAAAAAATAATTTGGCCATTCAATCCTCGACTGTTTGTGGGACGCTGCTCTCGCATTTCACCCACAAAATATGCAGAGCAATTTGAAAAGATGCTTTGAGCTAAACCACTGCCCAAAGTCGGTGCAACGGGATGGAAAAGGGGTGTTTAATTCCAAACCAGTCAATAGTTAAAAGATATTGGTTTATATCATAATTTTCAAATGCTTTTTTGAAAACTTATATAAACCACTGCATTCTATAAGGTTCTATAGGTGCAAAATTAGTGGCCTCGATAACTCATAATTTTCCAAGTGTTTAATCATTTCTTTCCAGTTGTCAGACTCCAGTAGTTTTCCAACAAATAGAGCAAGATGATGTTCCTCTAATCTTCTAGATTTTTTTTTGAAGGGCATCAGATTTGCCACCTTACACCCCTCCTGTTGCTGTATGTTTGAGGTGGTGATAGACTCATGGAACCTAATGCTGCAGAAGACATACATGGGCTGCAGAGTTCTGGGAAGTCTGCCGATTGGGCAGTGAGTGGCACATTGGAGTAATAGAGCCTGAAAGTGATGAAGCAAGAGAATCTCAGCAGTCAGAGTGAGTGAGAACGAGTGTAGCGTCCCAGTGTATTCCCATTGATCAGAACAAATATTCCCATTGAATTATACTACTCTCATGGTTCACAGCTGGAAAGAGTCAATCCTGAATTTTCTGTTAAGAGTAAAAAAGAATTGCAGGGACTGTTGTCAAATTTGATAGAATGTTATCATAACCCAAAATAAATTTTCCCCAATATATCATCTTTTACGGCAAATATTTAATTCCATCCACATATATAATTTGAGGAGTCAACCCATAGGTAATACAAATTACACTTTAAGAACAGCATGGAAACCAGAACAGTTTGTCAGTCAAAATGTTTTTACTTTATTGCTGTAAATCTGTACATGTAACAGAAAACAAAATAGATAGCTGATGATTTCTGATAGGAATACAGACAAGGACTACCACAAAATAGCATTGTGCACCGCAAAATGTTTTTCCAATGATTCTTGGAGAAACAACCCTAATTTATGCCCACCTTGCAAAGTTGCCAATGAAGTTCTGTCAGTCACAGAACATGTTAAATTGGCAGACTGCTGTTTCTTTTTAAACCATCTGATCTGTATATTAAATTGTTCTAAATATGGTACAGCAAGAATGGTGCTCATTTAAAAAAATAGCTTTGCTTCATTGATAAACCAAAAACTAGATCACGCTTTAGAAAGTTGGGAGTAAAAGAAAAATGCTCAACAAATCTGGATCCATCTTCTAATTTCAAGCTATTATGGGTTGTTTCCAATTAGGATTGCAGTGTTTAACACGTTAATATATCAGATAATAGGTTAGCAAAGGTTGTAAATATATTGTTCTGAATACTGAATACACCGATGTTGCATTACATCAGTCAGGTGCTTTCTAATGTAAGCAATTATAAATATAGTGCTAGAAATAACTGAATAGATGCAAATGTATGTAAAATAACTGATCAGAAAATAACTCAAATTGATGATAATCCAATATAATAATTTAACCCTATAGTATTCATTATTGATATTCACAATTTTAAAAATGAGAAGAATCTGACTTTACTTTAGTTTGAACACATCACTAATTGTATTATGTCATTTATTATGTATTCTCTAGGAGGTACATCTCTCATTAGATAATACACTTACAGCATGAAGCCTGGCTGGGCTACTGGATTTTTAACTTTCCTCATATTGGGATCTGATCAAACAAAATAAAGTGTTGTAAAGAGAATCCCTTTGAAATTAAACCTTTTTAAAATAATGCCATTTCAAACCTATTCTACAAATGAAGCAGCTTCAGAAGCAAGTATTTGTTTAACACAGTTCAGTTAGTATATCAGTTACCATTCCAGCTTAATCACTAATTTGGTCCAAGTCAAAATTTACTTATATTCCATTGAACTATAAAAATAGACTACAATTTGTTGTATAAAATAAGCAACATTTTGCATTCTGTTTGTTCAAATTGCACTGTAACAAATATACCCTATCATCTTAAGTCTTTAATACTGCTTTGGGTACTTTATTTTATTTATACTGGGATGTAGGGGAAACAGCTAAGTAGGTGGTACCATGTAAAACCTGCAGCACGTTAGCTCCAATAGGTTAGTGTCTGATAGCACTGAGTGAGGCGAGGAGAAGGGGTCGGAGGAAATCAAGTGTCTGGGTTTGTTCCCTTGAAACAGCTGAATACTTAATCACACTCGAGTTAGGACTGCTTTTAGTGAAAGCTATTGAAAAGCATGTCACTTGTTATTGTTCAGATATTTATTGTACATCTTGCCAAAACCTAATTAGCAAGTATAAACACATGATTACATAACTATTATATTTACATTAAAATATTTTTTTCATCTGGGAACAAAAAACTCGACATTTGGGGAAAGCAATAAATAACGGCATCTCTAAACTCAAAACCTGTTTAAAATAGTCTTCCTGATTATGTATAAGTTTCATTAAAAAGGGTCGTATTATGGTCCCCTCCCTCTACAAAGCAATGGTATTTATTTTACAATGAAAATCACACAAGGATCTTATAACAGGGTACAGTACCAAATCCAGATTCAAACAGCATCACAGTTTCCTAACATTTCACAGCTATTTTGGGCACATGCAACATGCCTGCATTAACAAATAACTGCACCAGGTCCTGTACAATATAAACAGCTGCTGCAATAGCAGGTAGGTTAGTGATTCAAAAAAAGTCTGTACAAAATACTTAGAACAGAAGATCACTTTGAAAAGCACCAACATAGCAGGTTTAAGAAATTAAAACTCTGGACACAACAGAGCCGTGTGCATATGCTGTGCACATCTTGTACAATAGTCTGTGGGAGTGGGATTATACTTGCAATAAATAGTGTCGAACTTCATCAAATCTCATTTCATTTCAAGCAAAGAGGCTCTCTGGTAAGAAATTTTGTTTAGGACCACTGCATCATATCCCAACCTCAGAGAGGGATTTTTAAGCTGTCACCACAAACATAGGTGAATCACAGCAGATAAAGTGTAACCAACTAGTTATGATATTTGACTCACAAAATCCACATGAGTTGTCAGGTTAAATGCAGCACAAAGAAACCCACAAAAACAAAAGTGTTAACTATATATCAACATGTGCAACTACCAGTGTTGCTGACCAATTACGAGCAGCCCTTCTCTCAGTTTCAACATTCTTCGCATGGCCTGTACACTCTGAACTATTCATTTGGATTTCTTCCTGCAGTAACTTGCTCTGGGCTGATTTACACAAATACTGCAATGGCACTTGGTGAATTTAATCTTGCATCAATGCCACCTTTGTGAGATGGTCTCACTCAAGCAAAGACTGCGTGCAAGGAGTCATGCAAGTGGTTCTAAAGTGGTGCAAAGGCATTCACAATATGGAGGACAAGAACCTGCCACGAACATCAGAAAACTCTTCCAGTTATTTCTATACGGGGCCTTTAATCAATGTGTTTTCAGACTCTGCTAACTCTGAAGACATACTACCACACAGGAAAGGATTACAATTTGCGCATTGCAGTATATCAGGGTGCTGAGAAAAAAATACTTGCTACCATGGAAATCCCTGGATTAAAACATTGTCTTGTTTCCCGTCAGCTTGCATATATTCAGAATACTGCTTGCTTCATAGTTTAAAATGTCACCCCTGCAAAGTAAAAAAGGTGAAGGCTGAAATGTTACTCTTATTTGGTGGTGGTGATGGCAATATCTCGGCCCAATATTCTCCCATGATGCATGGCAAGATACATACACAACACTGACACAAGGCACCGTTGATTCATGTCCCTTTTCAGTTCAGACTCTGTGAAGGAGTGTTCATGATAGAGAGCACTCATAGCTCCCTTCTTCTACTTGCTGCTGCTCCTCTTCTTCTCCCTGGCTGTCTTCTTCCTGTCTGCTGCTACTACTGATCCCACTAACATCGTTCTGGCTACTGTTGTTGTGGCTCACAGTATTTCTGTCCTCTGCCCAAGGGCTCGGTGGCTCCACTGCTTTTGATATGCTCAGGCGTGCTGAAGGCTGAAAGGCTTCAGGCTCAATCAGCTCCTCTGTGACCTCGTTCAACTTCTGCAGCTGAGGTTTGATGCGATTCAGAAATGGCTTGTATCCAGGGCTGGTGATACAAGTCAGCACAGGGGAACAAAACAACAAGTTTGTGCATTAAATAAACTGTAGTTATGATCTCATAATTGCATAACGTGCAGTGACCCAATGAAATACTTGTTCAGGATATACACAAATTTTGTTTTACAATGCCCAGACTGAGGTGGGCACTGGCAGCAGCCTTGAGACACCTCAAAGTCATGATAAGGCAGTATATCAAATGCAAGGATTATTATATGAATAATGCAATACTAATTTTACCTGTGAACTGAAACCTATACATTTTCAATGCAAGCCTCCAGCAGTTGATAGACTCAATTGTCTTTGCCCAATGAAACATTACTTGGTGGGTTGGCTTTTCCTTATCAAAGTACACAGATCTCCTCCCCTTCCACCAATTTCCCTTTATTGTCCTGATCCTGCTCACTGAACACAGAAACATTGTGGCAGATATCTGCAGCTCAACTCCTGCAGTATTTTATGGTCCATCATTGGGTGGGGGGGTGACTTAGCAAGTTGGATTTTGGTAACTTTTACCTCCAAGGCTGTTGAGGAAATTTACATCATTAAGTTACCCTGGGGCGCAACTGATATATTCTCAATGGAAGTTGAGTTTACCGCTTATTTTCCATCCGATTTTCTACAGATAGTCTACAAGAAAATGCTTATTGTTACGGAAGAAAATGTGAACGTACAGTAGAACGATACAGCAGGCCACAAGAAAGATTATGACCAAAGGCACAGTTGAAGAGATAGCTTTTAGGGGATTATTGAAAGCAGGGCAAGGTAGCAAGGCAACAGTTCCAATCTTAGTTTTACAAGAGTTCTAGAGCAGTGTTTCTTAACTGGTCCAAAAATCATCACAATTCTGTGATAACTTCATTATCAGTGAATTATTAACATGCTCAGTTAGCACTCTCACCCCTGAATCGGGTCATGACCCAACTGTGCAGCGCCTTGGGACGTCCTCCTGACGTGAAAGGCGCTTTATAAATGGAATCGTGTTGTTGTTGTTGTTGTGAATCTGAGGAAGTGGGTTCAAGCCAAAAGTCAGGGCTTTAAGCTAATCACCTGACTGATCCTCCAGTTAAGTGCTGGAGGAGTGTTGCACTGTCAGAAGCATTTTTCTTCGGTTGTGCTGTCTCATGTCCCTGTTCAGGCATATATTAAAAGATCCCACCAGGGCATCATTCACAGAATTCTCCTGGTGTCCAGCACCAACAATACCTCAGATAACATTGGTTATGGCTGTTTGTGGGATATTGCTGTGAGCAAATTGGCTGCCACATTCGTCTACAAACAGCCACTACACGGTAAGATCCTGCAGGGAGCTCAGACTTGTTTTGATGATGTAACAAGTTGTTATATCAAATGCAAGGATTATTATCAATCATTTACCCACTTAAGAAAAAAATCAAGCCAGTTCCTTGTATTAAAAACATTGATTTATACTATTCCAGAAGCCAGAGACATTAGTGAGTAGAAAAGTGAGTAATAAACCAGAAATAGAATGGCAAAGGGCTAGGATGTAAGGGGCGAGAGGATTCAATGGTTAGGGTGGGATGTGACTGTGGAGGCATTAATAATCAGGAAAAGGATCTTAATCTCAGGCACTGGGAGTGCAAAATAGCTTCCTTCTTTCCTGGCTTTAGTCTCTCATGGAACTCTGGAGCATGCATCACCCACAGCAGCTATATTAGTGGCATTTTTCTCCTTTTCCTTCCATTAATCGTGAAACATTCCCCTTTAATATTAACAACCAATACCAGTATACACAATCACAGGTTCGACATGTGACATTGAACAGTACTTGCAGCAAATTTTATTTCTATATTCTAGGAACATAAGTCAGCACATTTTAAACTGGTTATTCACTTTTAATAGCATTTAGTATGTACAGGGGACTCAATGTAATAATAATAATCCTTGCATTTGATATAGCGCCTTGTACTATTGTTTACCAGGTAAAGAGAGGAGCCTGAGTCAGTTAAGTATAAGAACACAGGAAAACAGGAACAAAAGGAGGCCACTCAGCCCATCAACTCTGATCCACCAGCTTTTTGAACCTCGGCAGGATCTCTTAATGCTGATGCTCACCCTTTCACTATCCCTTTAACCCCTCTATTTTGTCTATCTCTTGTTTAAACATCCCTATTGATTCTGTCTCTACACGCAGGTACAAAATTGGATTTGGTAACTTTTACAGAGCAACACTTACCAGTCTGTTGCAGCCCATCCATCGACAGCTAGGAGCCCATCCTTAATGCCCTGCAATACTTCCATGGGAATCTCAGAGTGCTGCAATGAACTCATGATCCGACTTATGACAGCAGAATCTTTGAGAATTAGTGCTGTTATTATACACCACTCCAAACACCCAGCCTCCATAAAAACGTACATCAGATACCTGAAGAAACAGAGGTATTACAGAAGGTTTAGAAAACCTACTGCAGGAAACTGGCATTTTAAGAACCTGCAGAAACATTAACCTTTGGATTCCTCACTCAAGTGAGCTGGTTATAATTATTTTTCAAAATTCATATTAAATCAAATATGCAAATCTTTCTACACACAAATTTAAACTAAGATAATCCCAGTTAAAAAAATATACCCACTAAATAGCAATTGTTCTCTTCAACTTCTCTATATTTTAAATCCAATTTTATTCATAACTTAAAAGTATTTTTGGTCCCTATATGTTTCAGCATCCAAGTAGTTAGGTACTGTTAGGCTCCTGTCAAGCCATTCGTGGAGACTTTAGGTGCATCAAGGTTATAGCACTAACTCTATGATTTTTCTCTAGCCACTGATAAGATAGAGATGCCCTGCTGCTTAATCATTGTTCCACCTGCACCTTCAAAGAAATCACTTGGCATGTGGGGAATTAAGGGATAAAATTCTCACACCAATGAAACCAGTGTGTAACCTATTCTTATAAAACCAAACGTGTAACCTACCATTTTTGCCTAACTGCCGTTTTGAAAATACTGTTGTGGTCTAAGGGTTGGTCTTGTAGAAATGAATAAAAGGATAGCAGCCCACTTACTGTAGTTGAACCTGCGACTTGTGAGGACCCTTATTGGCCAGTTCCATGGATATATATTCTAGTTCAGACTGTGTTAGACTGAGTGTTGAAAAACTTTCATCTACCATCATCCAGTCACCATCCACCATAGAGCTGGTTTCTGTGAGATCAGTAGCTGAACCAATGCTGCATTCATCACCTTAAAAATAAAATCATATCACCATATTATTTAATTATATTTAAAATGGACTAGTGCTAACTTCTCTCTGTCTAACCTAGCAGATATTTTAGCTGAAATCATTTAAAATTGATTTCAAAGCCAATAAATTCCTTGTTGAAGACAGGCATTATGGGGGAGGAGGGGAGGGAACAAAAAAGGCAAATCTACCAATCCCAATCGGAATGCTGCAGCTCTCTCTGCAAATATAATCAGTCTGACAAAAGGATACCAGTAATCTTCCCCTCCCTCCATGGCTTGTCCTTTTATGAGCCAGAATTTGGAAGTGGCAAAGAACAGCTAACACAGCGAAACTGTGTCCCAGCACAACTCAATGCCTTCAGGCAAGATAAAGAAAAATACTGGGCGCAAGTGTATAGCAGTGTCTGGGGGGAGGGGTAGAAACATCTTGCCTCAGTTGCTTCCAATACATAGCACTCAGCTTGGTACTGAATGGAAAGGGCTCAAGATGGTACCAACAACAACAACAAAATTACATTTGTATAGTGCCTTTCATGTCGGGAGGACGTCCCAAGGTGCTGGACAGACAGAGTTACGGACCCGAGCTGGGGTCGGGGTGGGAGTGGGTGGAGGACAGAGGGGCGGAACAACAACAACAACAACAAGATTCCATTTATAAAGCGCCTTTCACGTCAGGAGGACGTCCCAAGGCGCTGCACAGTTGGGTCATGACCCGAGCAGGGGGGAAATGGTCAGGGTGAGGGGACGGAAGGGAGGGAGCGAGGAGGGGGGAAATGGTCAGGGGAGGGAAGGGAGGGAGCGAGGAGGGGGAAGAGAGTCGAGAGGGGAGCTGAAGGCTCGGTCAAAGAGAAAGGTTTTGAGACCGGCCTTGAAGGAGGAAAGGGAGGAGGCGGCGAAGGCACTGGGGGATGGAGTTCCAGAGCCTGGGGGCTGAGAGGCTGAAGGCCCGACCACCGATGGTAGGGCGGTTGGGGCGGGGGACGTGGAGCAGACCGGAGCCAGAGGAACGGAGGGTACGGGCAGGTAGGTAGGGGGATAGTAGGTTGGAGAGGTAGGAGGGAGCGAGGCCGTGAATGGCCTTGTAGGTGAGGATGAGGATCTTGAAATCAATCCTCTGGGGATGGGAGCCAGTGGAGGCGAGCGAGGGTGGGAGTGATGTGGTCCCGAAGCCTGGTGCGGGACAGTACACGAGCTGCAGAGTTCTGAATGACCTGCAGCTTGTGGAGGGAGGTGGCGGGAAGGCCGGCGAGGAGAGAGTTCCCATAGTCCAGCCTTGAGGTGACAAAGTGGTGAACCAGGGTTTCAGCAGCGTGAGGGGTGAGGTAATGCCGTAGTCTGGAAGCAGGGAGATCGAAAGCACGGTCAAAGAGGAGAGTCTTGAGTTGGGTCTTGAAGAAGGCAAGGGAGGGGGGGAGGCAGAGGGACAGGACACAGAAACCACCACCCAACCTGCTGAATTTCCTGGTGTACTCAGAGGGTTAAAAAAACAGACGGGAGCTTTCAACTAAGCTTCTTTGGGTTTTGGTAGCTCCCCAAGAACCACTCAACTGTAGGCACATGGCTTGAGTTAGAAAACCAGCGGGGAAAGAAGATGCACGCTTTCATAGGAGAGTGACGCCTTTTAGTAACTGATACCAGTCTTACAGCAATAAGGATAAACAGAAGTTCTGTTTTAAAAAAAATCTAACCTTGTATGAAAACACAGATCAGTAAAAACATTTGAAACTTAAGATGCTCCCACCTCCGACACTCAGGATAAACAGAATGATGTAACAGAATTTTAAAAATTGAGGTCAGTTCATATGGGGCATTACATGAGCAAGTGAAATGAGGGAATTCACATGCTTCAAAAAGGACACTAATCTCGTATCTCTTGTGAATCTCCTTTGTAGCTGCTCCAACTACCCATGGCAAGCAGAGCAGAACAAATTAAAACAAATCATAAAAGCAGAGGAATCCTGTTTAAAGTGACATTTGCAGTATTCAGCAGGATTCCATGCACTTCCAGTTCATTCAATGCTGTATCGTATCAGATTGAAGAAACGCTTTATATGACTATTATCCCAGGTATCTGGCTAAACAAAATACTACTTCAATAATGGGTAGAAGTGCTGTGTGGATGGCAAGAAGCTGATATTGATCCCCCACATCTGGCACATCTCCTGGATTTTCTGTGCATAAGTGCTGTAGATATTAAAATATAGAGACTTTCTCATATATAGTTATTTAAAGGACTATAAGTGGGCGAAACCTTGGGCAAGTTTCCTCTCTCCACACGCCTGATTATTATTATTTTATTTATTAAAACAATCCGCTATTAAAATTTAATGGTGGGTATCAACACTAAGGGGTCAGAGCAGTTTGTTCTACTGAACCTGCATTTGCACAAAAATGTAAGGTTTAATTTAATAAAATCTGGTCATGTTTATTGACCTAGCTAAATTTCCATTTTACCACTAGGATTTTTCGGTTTCTATTTTACGTCAAGATATACAAGTGTAATATTAATGTTATTTATTTTGGGTTCTACCTGATAAACTGTGGGTGTTACAGTAGTTATCCAGTCATTGGAGGAGCTCTGTCTTGGCCCACAGTAACACCTCACTTCCTACGTTGAAACATATTTCCGATGTTGAACCTTAATAGAGCACAGTCCCAGTAGACCTGGACTGTCAGCCTCTCTTGTGGTATCACTCCCACCTCTGATTTGGGTTTAAGCCCCAAGTCTGGGCTTGAGCTCACAGTCAACAGGTCATTCAACGCAGTAAATAGCCAAATTCAATTCGCCTCATTACTGTTACAACAGGCTGGCATTTGGTGTTGGTTTACCCATTCAGCTCATTCTCCTAACCAGTGGAGGATCTGTGTATTTGTGGGCAAATGCAGCAGGCAATATGCACACAGCAAAGGCTCACAAACAGTCAGGAAATGAATCTTAATGACCAATTTTAATCGGGGGATTGTTGGTCAGGTTGCCAGAAGAAACTCCCTTCTCTTTTCGAATGGTGCCATGGAATTTTCAACATGCACCTGAATAGGCAGATGGGACCTCAGTTTTAACCTCTCATCTGAAGAAGGGCACCTCCAACAATGCAAACACCCCTCCAGCACCGCATTGGAGTATCAGTTTTGACTACGTGAATTCAAGTCGCAATGTGGGGCTTGAACCTACAACCTTCTGACTCAGAGACGCAAGTGCTACGAGTTTGTTGCATGACTTCCTGCGTATGATTTTATGCTTAGTACTTTTGTATATCTTTAATTCACGTTTTTGAATAATAACCAAATAAATTCTTTACCTTTAGGAAATAAAGGTGATAAGAATGCATCCTGTGTCTGAGGACCTTGCAATGAGCCAGCATCTATTTCTCTGGGTGCAGTGGCTAAGCTCAGGCAGATGTGGCTCCCACGTGCAGTTATAACGCCACTCTCCACCTCTTTGTTTACCGAAATCTCAGTTGACTGAGATTTAAGAAACTGGTCTCCAACTGAATGGGGGTGGGGGGGAAGAGAAAGAAAAAGATCAATTAATGAGCAGTTACCATACTCAGCTTGACTATTTAAATTAAAAGTTACAGTGGAATGCTGCATGCCTATGATCCGCATGTTGGTTAATCCCCATTGGGCTACAATGCGGAAGTGTGACAAATTGGTTGTGAAGTTGGTAGGTACACAATTTGGCCAGTATGACTGAACTGGAAAAGTGAGGTAATTAATCATTTAGCAATTTATTACAAAGAATACCAATTGGTGATGGAAGGAGAAGCACTGGCAGGTGAGGAAGGCAGGATGGCATTGTGTGGGAGAGTGGAACTGTTGAGAGTATAGTAGACCTGGTTACAACAATAGTTGAGATTCATACAATCCCAACGAATCTTAAAATGCAATCTATCAGCTTTCCACAATGTGACGTCACTGCAATGCCCTGAAAGTGACATCAGCAGCGACCTGATGATCTAGAAGTTGGACCACTTTTTAAGCTGGTCACAAATCCACAGGGCGGTGGAGAAAGTTTTTGGTTAGTACTGTACATTGGATTTAAGGGGTGACCAATTATATGCAGTTTTTATATCCACAATGGGGTTGTTCCCAATGAATGCAGATATCACACTCTCTACTATATTCTATATTACAGAGCACTTTAATGAGATTTAGCTATGAAGTACTGTTATTACCTGTTTTGTATTTACCATTTTTAAACGGTGAATTTACTAAAGAGCTGGAAGGAATAACTGGAAAAGGCCAAAGAAAGTCCTTATGGAGCCTTTTTAGAGCTTTAACAAAGTCCTCTACCCGGCCGGCCCGAGTCCTTTCTTTGTAGAGCCAGCCTATGAGCTCAAAACCCAGCTGTGCGGCAAAGCTAGCAAGGTCTTTCAGCCTCATATCCTCCAGCAGTCTTCGTGCATGACGCCAAAGCATAACATCAATGTACATATTCTCAGCACAGTCACCATCCTTACTCCACCTAAAGATAAAGGCCACAAAGAAATTATACACATCCAGATTAGATTCTTCACATGTGAAATTAAGACTTTTTACTTTTAGAAGAACATTTCTAGTGGTCTTTCAAAGTTTTGGGAAAAACCCTGTGTGATGGATATAGCAGGTTGGATCATTCCTAACATTTTTAAAATGCTCATAGTGAGAGAGTGCATCATCTCATTGCATCCCAGGCGGAAGGAGCTGGAGTGGGATTAACCTGTCGTGTTCCTACGCACATCCAGAGTGCATCCCTGAGTAGTCTAGAGAACATTTCCATGCAGGACATGGCAAATTAATAAACTGTACATTTAACTTAAAATCAGCATTCCACCGTGTGCTTACTGAAAAGGGTGGCAGCAATATATAGAAAAACCTGAAGCTGAGAATCTAATAACTGAATTTTGTTTAGTCTATCAGAAAGAGAATTATAATATCTTGTAGAACCCAGTCTGTAGTGCTTGTGCAAACCTATAGCTTTCCAGGTTTAATGTTTTTCTCCAAAGGAGCAATTTAGGTTTCAGACTGCAAATATTTAAACTTTTCCCTACAGTACACTATAAAATGTGAAATATGACCCACAAACTGCGGAAATTATCAACTTTTGCAACTAATCTCTGCATCTCATTTTATATGCTAACTTGAAATAATGTTAATAGGCCCTTTAGCTTTTCCTGTTCACAGTTGGCAATGTGTTCCATTAATTTTATATGAAAAGGTCAAACTGCCTGCAGATAAAGCCAGGCCCTCACATAGCATCGATCAGAATCGCACGTTGTACAAACATGATCTACTTAAAGTCAGAATCTGGTGAGAAAATGAAATGCTGAAGTTACCTCTTGGCTGAAGGCCCTGCTGGCATGCTTAATGTCTTCTGCAAGTTGCATTTACTGGTGCCTAATCCTTCTGCTGATTGTGAGAAACTAATGCTGCGATGCTTGAAGAACTCAAAACCTCCCGTTGAACTTGGTTCCTGTTTTAAAAGAAACTTAAAATACTATTGGGGGCAACAAGGCTATGAAATACAACTACTGTTGATTTATGAATCTGCAGAATGCTGCTGTACCAGAGCACATCCCTCTTAGGCCTTTTGTGTAGCTGGGGACCATATAAATAATGTGAGTTAATTATGAATTGTTCTACACCAGAATCAGAGTCCACAAAACAAGTCCTTTTAGTCGTCTTTAACAATTATGAATTGCATCAGCAAAACTCGACATATGCATTGATATGCACCAAAGAGCAAAACAGCAACAACACCTATTATTTTATGGGGTGAAGAGAAGTGAAAGCAAGCAGAGGGAAGATCGACACAGAAAGAACTTGCTGTAACACCTTATCACATGCCACCAGTTTGTTGGAATTACCTTTGTTTTTACTTGCAAACATGGCAGCACAGCAAACTCCCGTGAACAGCCATGATAAAAATCACACTTCCCCCCACCCCCAATCTACCCTTTCTCTCATGCACTCTCTCGCTCCCCCACTCACACCCACTCTCTCCTCCCTGTCTCAATCACTCTCTCCCCCCTCTCTCAATCACTCTTTCCCCCTCTCTCAATCACTCTCCCCCACTCTCAATCACTCTCCCCCACTCTCAATCACTCTCCCCCACTCTCAATCACTCTCCCCACTCTCAATCACTCTCCCCCACTCTCAATCACTCTCCCCCACTCTCAATCACTCTCCCCCACTCTCAATCACTCTCCCCCACTCTCCCCCACTCTCAATCACTCTCCCCCACTCTCAATCACTCTCCCCCACTCTCTCTGCTTCTCTCTCCCCTCTGCTTCTCCCTCAATTCCCCTCCCTCTCACAACACTCTCTCTCTCATTCACCCTTCCTTACCTCTCTCTCACACACACAATCAATCACTCTTCCCCCACTCTCTTTCAGTTGAACCACCTGGTCTAGAAACAAAAATCCTCTTATTTTTGTTCTAAGAACACTGGCAGTTCTCCAACATCTGCTGGACGCAGAGAGTATAACCACAGAGGAACTTCACCACTGCTGGTGACGGAAAGCGTAAGCAACGTATAAATTATATTTGCAAGTGATCCTACTGGGAAATTAAGCTGTCAGTCTTTAATATGTATCAATGGACACTGGAAAAAAAATACCTTCACACATACCTGAGTGGCTGGAGTAGGTGGCGGAGTTTCCAATTCTCCAGCGCCAATTGCTTTCAGGAAACGGATCATGTGGCGACAAAGATCCCATTTTCCTTGTTCCAAGGCAGTATTAAAAAGTAGTGTAGCATGTTGCCTGCTGACTGCTGGAGCCTCCATGTTCTATCGGGTTTAAAAAAACAATTAAAAAAAACAAAATCAATCCTGCAGTAAATTAACTAGTGGAGCGTCTAAAAGTTATACCACAAGATTACAGAAGAATCAATTTTGTGTTATGAACACACGGATTTAAAATTTCCAAAACAGCCATTGTTCATGCGTGACTTTTGCAGGGGATGTTGACAGTCTGCTTGACTGTAGAGAGCACCATAACCTAGCCTCACCTCTCTCCACTCAGCTGTGACAATGCACTATCAATAGAGGGCGATGAAGTGGAACCAGTACCAGTAAACGTGGCTGGTTTTCCCTTTCCTAATCTGGAGAAGGCCTGGGCCAGTTTATCAACCAAGCAGACCCAGCTGAGATCAGAAAAATCAGCACGGACTTCCAGGTCCTGCCGATGAGCCAGGCGATGACTATCCTGTCATCAGCAGGGCCCTGGAATACTGTGGACCTGCCTGGCTCAGGAACCGGACTACTGAGACTGCCACAGGGGGCTGGCTCGATTCTGCCACTCTGTTGCCAGGCATGTCACCTTGGAGCCAGTTCAGCTCCAAGGAAACCCTGATTACCTCCCTCTCCCCTCCCCAAGAGGATGGTCATGATGGATGTTGAACAAGGGAGGAAGGGGAGGTGACAGACAGCCACGAGCCAAGTTTCTAGGCAGGTTTTAAAGACGGGAGGGAGGGGAGAGCAAATGAAGAGTCGATTTCCAAATGGTAAGACTTATAGTTCACGAAGGCTCGGCCACTGATGGTGGTGTGGAGGGGGCATAGGATTCACAACAGGCCCAAGTTTGCTAAGTCAAACGGCTAAGAAGGAGTGAGATTGGAGAAAACAAGGAGGTGACAGGATGTGAAGGATAGGTGAGGATTATGAAATCATCTGTTGGAGGTCAAAGTGCCAGTGGAGACTGGCAAGGACTGGGGTGACGGGCAAACTGAGTTTGGTGCAAGTCAGGATGCAGGCAGTCGAGTTTTGAATGAGCTGGAGCTGTTTTTAGCAACTTATTTACCAAAACTCCAAGGTTTCTCCTCTCTGAATTTCAGGAGAGATTTCCATGCCATACATCAAATGTACACCAACAAATTCAATAGTAAACTTCCAGGTCTTGTCTACACACGTCAACTGCATTCTTCACATACTATTACTTATCTGTTGCAAATTTGCTTATATAGTAATTTTATATAGTTACATTTCAGAACACAATCTCTCTGCAGACAAATGAGTGATAGCAAACTTGCTTCACTATGAAGGAGAAACATACAAACGCTGAATGCATAATGTACAGTAAGCAGAGGAAACACAGGGCAATCAGGATCTAATAAGAGTAAGATAGGTTACATTTTTGAGTTATATTCAGCGAAAGATACGTTACATATTGACCCTTCATCAAGAACTCAAGATGTCTAAGCCATCGCATATAAATAACCTTTGAGTGGATTTCCTACCTGCAGGATGATGAGATAAGAAGCAGCAGTGTCCAAGTCACGTGCCATCAAACATTCCTCAAACAAATCCTTAGGGTTCCCCACGGCACCAAACAGATAATTCCACAAGGCGTATTCAGTCTTCCTGGCACAGTGAACCACTGTCTGCAGAAAGAGTGGGAACTCGGTGATGAACTTTGCCACAGTTGGAAGCAATGGGTCAGGAATAGGTTCCCGGGAAGTAGCTTCTTCTTCCAATACTTCATGAAGCATCAATTCCAGTACATGAGGGAAGTATGGCAATGTGGCACAGGACTGGGCTAAGAGCAGTGCCTGTTCACCTAGATTTCGAACCAGCAGCTGGCGAAGGATATGATGGAGGTAGATTTGAGAGGTCCTCTCAACAGTACAGAAAGGAAAAAGGACCTCCAAAGGTTCTCTGTTACTGGTATGTATATATAATCCATCATACAGCACAGTCTCATTCACTGCACCAAGAACCAAAGCATCCTCAAACAGTACAGCCAATGGGTAAATGTTTATCTGGAAGGGCAGCATGATCCGTCTGGAAAGGAAGGAATGAGGTTTGCGATGGTCCCTGGGAAAAAGGGGCAGCCAGACTTTCATCCCTGCTTCTCCACAACTCAGCCAGAGAGCCTCCAGCAGGTGACGCTTCTGTTTGTTGGTTCTGCAGGTAGTCCATACATTTTCAACACACTGAGCAAGTACCACTGGAGCACAGAATGGGAGCTACAAGAGAGGAAATGGTTAGAAACTTCATGTGCTTAAAATAAATATCTACAACAAAGCTTGCAATAGGCAATAATAATAATAATTCTTGCATTTGATATAGAGCCTTATCACATTGTTGAGATGTCTCAAAGCACTTCATAGAACATTCTGTAAAGTGAATTGACTGTATATTTTGTTGGTGAAAAACAGCAGCAATGTCCCACAAATGGTCATGGATTGAGTGACCAAATTATTATTTTTTTTGAAGGGATTATTACTACCAGAAAAGTGAACCTCCAATCAACTAACAATCAGATTCCTACTTACTGCTAGGATAAACAGAAGCGTGTGGTGTAGGAAATTTGCCTAAGATTTCGTCCTGCCTGGGAATCGAACTGGGTCACTTATAACATTTTCAGATATTCATACCAATGTCCTTGCAGGGAGATTAACTAGTGCTGTGGGGAAGGGTTTAAACTAATTTTGAGGGGGGAAGGGAATCAGGATGTAGCATTAGAGCAGGCAAACAAGTTACATAGAGGGTTGGGAGAGACGAATATCAATGTAATGCTAATGACATGACAGAGTAGATAGTGGGAGATTGTTTTCTCTGGTTGGAGAAACTAAAACCAGGGGTCACAACCTTAAAATCAGAAGCCAACCCTTTCGCACTGAGTTGAGGAAGAACTTCTTCACTCAAAGGATGGTGAATGTATGGAACTCACTACCCCAAAGGGCTGTTGACGCTCAGTCCTTGAACACATTCAAGACTGAGATAGATATATTTCTTATTGCAAAAGGGATTAAGGGATATGGGGATAAGGCAGGGTTATGGTATTAGCTGGAGTTAGATTAGAAGATCAGCCATAATTGAATGGCAGGGCAGGCTCGAAGGGCCAAATGGCCTACTCCTGCTCCTACGTATTATGTTATGTTATGTAATAAGGAGTAATCCAGAAAAAGGAGGGGTTAGACGGGGGAGAAATACAGAACAGACTAAGTCAGTCTTGGAATGCATGTGCGTAAATGCACGGAGTGTGACGAATAAGATTAGTGAGCTACAGGCTCAAATTGCCACATGGGGTTATGATGTAGTGGCAATAACGGAGACCTAGCTCAAGCAAAGGCAGGAATGGGAGCTGAATATTCCTGGCTACAATGTATTCAGGAGGGATAGGGAAGGAAAAAAAGGAGGCGGGGGTGGCAATATTAATTAAAGACACGGTTACGGCCCTGGAATGGGACGATGTGCGAGAGGGTCCAAAAACAGATTCAATTTGGTTAGAATTAACAAGCAGAAAAGGAGCTGTTACTCTGTTAGGTGTATACTATAGACCACCAAATAGTGGGAAGGAGATAAACAAGCAAATCTGCAAGCAGATTTCAGAAAGATGCAAAACCAATAGAGTAGTGATAATGGGGGACTTCAATTATCTTAACATAGCAAAATAACAGTGTAAAGGGCAAGGAGGGGAAGGATTCATGAAATGTGTGCAGGATAACTTTCTGGATCAGTATGTTTCCAGTCCAATGAGGAAGGAAGCAGCGCTGGATCTAATTCTGGGGAATGAAGTGGGGCAAGTGGAGTAGGTTTCAGTAGGAGAGCATCTGGACAACAGTGATCACATCATTAGGTTTAGAGTACTTATGGAAAGGGACAAGGAGAAATCAAAGGTGAAGATACCCAACTGGAAGAGGGCTAATTTCAGTGAGTTAAAATGTGACCCAGCCAAGGTGGATTGGAAAGAAAGATTGGCAGGTAAAACAGCTAACGAGCAATGGGAAGCCTTCAAGGAGGAGTTAGTTCGGGGACAGAACAGGGAAAGGTAGGGCATCCAAACCTCCCTGGATGAATAAGGAAATTGGGATTAAGATAAAACAGAAAAGTGAGGCTTATGATAAATGTCAGGTCCAAAATACAGAAGATAATCAAATAGAATATAGAAAGTACAGAGGAGAACCAAAAAAGGAAATAAGAGGGGCAAAGAGATTGTATGAAAAAAGATTAGCGGGTAACATAAAAGGGAAGCCTAAGGTATTTTATAAGGATATACAGAATAAACGATTAATCAAAGGTAGGGTGGGTCCAATTAGGGACCAAAGAGAAAATCCTCTTGCGGAGGCAGAGGGAATGGCTGATGTATTGAATGAGTACTTTGCATCTGTCTTCAGAAAAGAATAGGATGCACCCAATGTCACAGTATCGGAGGAGAGGTTAGAGAAATTGGATAGGATAAGAATAAACTGAGAGGAAGTACTAAAAAGGTAGATAAGTCACCCGGTCAGGATGGGATGCATCCTAGGTTACTGAGATAAGTAAGGGTGGAAATAATGGAGGGCTGTGGCAACAATCTTTCAATCCTCCTTGGACATTGAGGTGGTGCCAGAGGACTGGAAGTTTGCAAATATTACTCCACTGTACAAAAAGGGGCAGAAGGATAAACCCGGGAACTACAGGCCTGTCAGCCTAACGTCAGTAGTGGAGAAACTTCCAGTGACCATAATCCGGGACAAAATAAATTTTCATTTAGAAAAATATGGGTTAATAAAGGACAGCCAACACAGATTTGTTAAAGGCAAATCATCTCTAACAAACCTGATAAAATAATTTTTTGATTAGGTAATGGAGAGGGTGGATGAAGGCAGTGCAGTTGATGTAGTTTATATGGATTTTCAAAAGGCGTTTGAAAAAGTGCCACATAAGAAACTTGTAAGCAAAATAGAAGCCATCGGTATTTAAGGGACAGTGGCAGCATAGATACAGAACTGACTGGGGGACAGAAAGCAGTGAGTGGGGGTGAATGGTTGTTTTTCTGACTGGAAGGAAGTGTGCAGTGGTGTCCCCCAGGGGTCAGTACTGTTGTTTTTGATCTGTATAAATGACCTGGACTTGAGTATAGGGAGTACAATTTCCAAGTTTGCAGGTGACGCTAAGCGAGGAAAAGTAGTAAACAGTGAAGAGTATAGTCACAGACTGCACGAGGACACAGACAGACTGGGAAATGGGCCGACACGTGGAGATGAAGTTTAATGTGGAGAAATGTGAAGTGATGCATTTTGGGAGGAAGAATGAGGAGAGGCGATATACGCCGATGGTACAATCTTTAAAGGGGTGAAGGAACAGAGAGACCTGGGGGTCATATAAGTAAATCTTTGAAGGTGGCAGGACAGTTAGATAAAGCTGGTTAAAAAAAGGGATACTAGGCTATATAAATAGGGCATAGAATACAAAAGTCAGAAAGTTATGATGAACCTTTATAAAACACTGGTTACACCTCAGCGAGAGACTGTGTTCAGTTCTGGGGCACTACACTTCAGGAAGGATGTCAAGGCATTGGAGGGTGCAAAGGAGATTTGCCAGGATGGTACCAGGAATGAGGGACTTCAGTTATGAGGAGAGGCTCGAGAAGGTAGGATTATTCTCCTTGGAGCAGAGAAGGTTAAGAGGAGTTTTAATAAAAGCTTTCAAGATTATGGGGGAGATTCGAGAGGGTGAACAGGAGAAATTATTTCCACTGGCGCGTGGGTCAGTAACTCGAGGACACTAATTTAAAATAGTTGTTAAAAGAAACAGAGGGGAGGTGAGGAGAAATTTTTTCACACAGCGAGTTGTTCGGATCTGGAATGCATAATTATGTGGCGAGGGGGAGGACAAGTTTACAGGGCTATGGGGAGAAAACAGGGGAGTGGATTGAATTGGAAAGCTCTTTTCAAAGAGCCGGCACAGACACGATGGGCCGAATGGCCTCCTTCTGTGCTGTAAAATTCTATGATTCTATGATATTTACTTCTGTTATCCTCTTAAATCAAGAAACAATATGAAACACCCTCTTTGTAACTAACACTAACAGTAAATCTAAAAGTACATTTTTCTATTGCTGTTAGGTTTGTCATAATTTTATTCGAAGTCCTCACTGATACAGTTTGAGTGTACAAAAGTAACTCCACACACAAAAACAGTAGTTACAAAATAATTATGAACAAAACAATGTACTCTTCTGGTGAGTTACTTACCAGTTTTTGTTTGGGAATGCTATCCTTCTCTCGTACCTGAGGACCTGATCGATCTCTCTGCAACATGATGAGTTGTCCTGCTAGATTAAGCATAATGCTCTCTGCAGCACAAGCCTGAAACAAAAATAAATATTCAGTAAAGTCAGCAGTAGATTTCATACATCAGCTGATAAATTTAACAAGTATCAAGAAATCAATTAATCCCCAATTCCCAATTTTCCTTCTTATTAAGTTTCCAATTGATTTCTAACTGAATTTGTGAAACAATGGAAAAGACTGTCTATTTAAGATTTTCAAATTTTATGCTAAAATTTTGTAAATAAAAATTGCCAATTTTATTCCTTCCTGAAGGTATGACCAACTCCTCTTTTCCCATTTAATGGCATACGGTTCCATAGGTGCCTTACAGAACATCACCCAAGTGGCCATTGTTCATTCCCGCTTTGTAATTTGTCAGCAAACTATTCAACTGCAGGGAGCATTGAAGCTAAGCAATGCACCTTTAGCAGAGATACAAGATAGTATGCTGGAGGAATTGTCTATTATTATGATTGTGGTGTTTTAGTAAACAAAAGCGTAGAGGGTGTGTATTTCGTGGAATTACCCACATCATTTCTTAAAAGGAAGATGTATGGAGATTACAGATGTCATTGCCTATCCCTCCCTTACTATAACTGGAGGCGATCCAGCAAAACATCTGATGCAACAATCTACATGCTGCAACATAAAAGTTCAACCCCAGCGTCAGAGCGAATGAGGAATGCTGCTTTGGTCAGCGGAGCAAGTAACACACTGATTAATCACTTGATTAGGTGTTAATTCTAAATTACTGCTCACCAATCGGAAACTGGTTGCATCCAGAGGGTATAAAAAGGGGATAGCTGTGAGAGCCTCACTCGAGCAGAGGGCCTGGAGTGAGAAGGAATTGGGTGAGAGTGGGAAATCGGTGCAGAGGGTGAAGTAGGTGTAAGGTTGTAGTATATCTTCTAAGGTAGGAGAGCGCGGGGTGGAGCTGAGGCCTAGCTGTGTATATGAAGCACAGCCAGGTGAGGAGCCACTCAGTCGGGAGCGGAGGTAGGAGCTGAGGTAAGTGAGGGGGTGGGGCGTGTTTCACAAAGTGATGTCAGTGTGTCATCACAGTTAATGAAAAAATTATATAAAAACCCAACAACAACAACAATGGCCTGGCAGCCACTGCCACTCAGCCATGAACTGGCAGGCAAAGCCCGTGCGTGGGCTGATGCCGTCTTGCTGATCGCTTGCTCCTGGTCTCTGAGTGCGCATTTTGGCTGCTGCCCCGACCCTCCCCCTAAATGTGTGTCCTCCCACTCCCCTAAATGTCTCTCTTCCCGCCCCCCTCTATCAGCTACTCCCCCTCTGTTCTTCTCTCCCACCGCCCTCCCCTCCTTCTCTCTGTCCTCGACCCCATCACCACTTCCCTCTGCTCCAGCCTGGGCATCCTCCGCTGGGCCAATCGTGGCTCCCAGCACTGGCTGTCCCAGAGCAACAACCCCACGTGTCCCATCATTCACTCCCTCCGCACAAACCGCCTCCTTAACACAAACCCAACTCCCCCTTCCCTCATACACACCCTCCCCAACTCTCCACTCACACCACTCTCCACAACCATCTCTCCTATACAACCCAAAATCCTCTCCACATCACTCTCTCCTCCCTCCCCCCGGTCCAGCAAACCCCCCGCATTTCCCTCCAAGATGTCCGTTCCCTCTCAAATAAAGCCCTCACCATCCACGACCTCATTCTGGATGAGCACCTCGACATTCTTGGGCTCACCGAAACCTGGCTCTCCCCCAATGACCCCGTCCCCCTAGTGGAAGCCTCCCCTCCAGGTTACACCTTCCACCACACCCCCCGTCCAAACCAACTTGGTGGCGGGGTGGCCTTCATTTCCAAAGCCTCCCTTGGTCTCACCCCCTACTCCTCTGACTGCTTTCCCCTCCTTCGAGTACCTCACCCTTTTCCACCCCTCTCTCCCTTTGAAAATTCTCCTTGTTTACCGCCCCCCAGCTCCTTCCACACAGACATTTCTACTCTCCTCTCTTCCCTGTCCCTCTGCTCTGAGTGCCTACTCATAATGGGCGATTTCAACCTCCACCTAAACTTCCCCTTCACCACTTCTACCGATTTCACTGCCCTCCTCTCCTCCCTAAACCTCACCCTCCATATAAACTCACCTAACCACAACCGTGGTCATGCACTTGACCTCATCATCACCCACGGCCTTGACATTTCCGACCTCAGCATAGTGGACAAGGCCATCTCGGATCACTTTTTCATCTGCTTCTCCTCTCAATCCCTCTCTTCTCCACCAAGCCTTCAACCATCCTCTACCGCCCTTGGAAAAGGCTACCCCCGAGACCCTAAAAAAGGCCCTCTCATCTTCAAACATCCTATCCACCTGGCCTTCCAACCACTGAGATCCTGAAGCAGCCGTCCAGCTACTACATGATCGCCTCTCCTCCACTTTCAACTCCCTCGTCCCCCTGAAATCCAGGACCATCTCCAAACCCACCCGATCCCCCTGGTACAACAACCATCTCTACCGCCTAAAAACCCAAACCCGTCTGCTCGAGCGCAGATTGGGGAAAACTGGCCTAACAGTTCACCACCAACTGTGGCTCGAGCATCTCCACAGCTACCACCGTTCTTTGACATGTGCAAAAACGGCCTTCTACTCCAACATCATCTTGGAGGCTAAACACAACCCTAAAATCCTTTTTTCCCACCACCTCTTCTGTGCCCCCCCCCTCAGGCCTCCTCAATCTTCGTCTCAAATGCCAAGTGCGAGGAGGTCATGGACTTCTTTTCAACTAAAATACTGAACATCCGCCAGGCAGCCTCATCCACCTGCACCTTGTCACCCACCACCACGCCCTCTCTGTCCCCCTAACCCTCCTCATCATCTACTCCTACCACCACCACCTTTCTACACTCTTTCCTCCGCATCGCTTAAGAACATGACTCTGGCGCAGTATTTGTTAACTCTCCAATGATATTTGTAAGATGGACAATTTAAAACAAAATAAGTTACAACATTCTATTACTATTCTATAAAAGAACCCCCAAGAAACACTCTGAACCACATCTTCATAGGTAGTAGTTCAACAAATATTCACTCATGACATTATGAAATCCTTTGTGTGAAAATTAAATTGATGACTGTAAAATATACTAGTATTAGATTTGTACGCAATTCAACGAGTACCTGCTGTGGCATTTTCAGGGTGATGCCTGTCTCTGTTCTCACAGAAGTTAGAGTTACTGACACCACAAGTGTTGGGTGGGGAATATAACGAGACATGGATACCTCCTGCAGAACCTCAACAATGGCACTGGGATTAGGGCTAAAAATTAAAAACAAAAATGTACACATCAGAATCAAATTAGAATCCCCGTCACCCAGTTGACCCTTCCAAAGTGAGATTATAACATTGCTGAAATTCAACTTTGAAGAGAGAAAACTGTCACATTCACGTTTAAAATCCCTAACCCATGCTTAGTTATTGATGATCATGCCTAAATGTCAGATCAATTTTCTTAGATCTATTTACAATTGATTACTATGTACGAATTAAGCATTAACTAAAGAGTCAGCACTACACACTTTAAGAAACCTTAATTATTTTTATTGCAAAGTTATATATTCTCAAACATTCATTAATGGTAGATGCCAACCTGGTTAGGCTTTACCAAAAATCTAAAATACTCATTACGACTCCATTTTAAGCAGTTCAGACGCAGCCCTGCGTGAAGGGCACTACGTAAATGCAAGTAGTTGTTGGTGCTTCAAAACGCTGGTAAGCAGGAAAACAAAATAGCCAACCTCTGGATCATCATCTGTGTACTACACAAGAAGTAGCAACGCTTCAGAGATCAGTCAGTAGAGCTCCCACGTGTTGGCCAGTATTTTGAAGAACTAATGAATTCAGCAGTTTTTCTGCATTAATGTGCAGTGAATGAAGAAGCACTGATTGGTAATTATACTCCATTCTGGTACTGATCGGGATTTTATTCACTCAATTACACCTTTAAAACAGGCTCTACTATATACACATTGAACAACTGTGTACGATTACTCTGTTACTGTGAGCGGTTATGTAATTCTGACCTAGTACAAAACAATCTGGTAGGATGATAAGTGTTGCATTTGTTGTTAATGGAAAAAAATGTACTTGCTGAGATGAAATTTGGATTTAAATATTTAATGACCAATGCAAAATAGGTGACATCCTAGTTGACATAAGAATATAATGTTATTCAAAGGTAGAGTGGGTCCAACTAGGGACCAAAGAGGAAATCTTCTTGTGGAGGCAGAGGGCATGTCTGACGTACTGAATGAGTATTTTGTATCTGTCTTCACAAAAGAAGAGGATACAGTCAATTCCATGGTATCAGAGGAGAGGGTAGAGAAATTCGATAAGATAAGAATAAACTGAGAGGAGGTACTAAAAAGGTTGTCGGTGCTCAAGGTAGATAAGTCACCCGGTCAGGACGGGATGTATCCTAAATTATTGAGAGAAGGGTTGCAAATGTTACTCCCCTGTACAAAAAGGGGCAGAAGAATAAAACCGGGAACAATGGGCCAATCAGCCTAACGTCAGTTTTGGAGAAACTTCTAGAGACTATATTCAGGGAAAAAATAAATTTTCACTTAGAAAAATATGAGTTAATAAAGGACAACCAACACGGATTTGTTAAAGGCAAATCATGCCAAACAAACCTGACAAGAGTTTTTTTTGATGAAGTAATGGAGAGGGTGAATGAAGGCAGTCCAGTTGATGTAGTTTGTATGGATTTTCAAAAGGCGTTTGATAAAGTGCCACCACATAAGAGGCTTGTAGGAGTCACGTGGCAAGAGTACTACCAACTGAGCCAAGTTGACACAAACATTACAAACTAATAATTTTAAAGTGTTTATTTAAAGGTACCTGCAAAATGTGTTCACGTGTCATGGTATATAGTTTCATAGAAAAACAGAACACTTTATAATACAGTATTTAATTATCTTGACATTTTTGGTTCAGGCACATAGGTACTTTAGGAGAGGTAGGCTTTGATTGCAACCTTATCTGAAAAGATATATTTCTTCCAAATTAGATTTTCCAATTAAATTTTCAGTATAAGATTTAAAAGAAAGTTTGACATCCCATTAAAATTATAGTGTGAAGTTGTGCAATGTTAATATTACGAAGTGTTTAATAGCCACAAACCACTACTTGAAAGAGACGCATTCTGTGTAAGAAACCTTAGTTTCTCAGCACAGTACTAACTTTTGAAGGCAGGAATATTGGAAGGTAAGTGTGGTTACTTACCCATCATCTCTCCGGTCAATACTGTATAGGCAAATGGAGCAATCTGCTCTGAACAATATTACCATGTTCCTGAAGACATTCAGTAATAAAGTCTCTGATTGCACTTTGGTAATGTGAGCAAAGGTATTGTCCAAGTTAGATGTCCGGAGATACAGTCTCAGCTGTAAAAACAGATACACAGGTACAAAAGTATGAAGTATTACGAATTGAAAAATCCTTTTTTTAAAAAAAACAAAAGAAATTGTTGCTTATGCACTGAAAACCTGAATTATTTTCTAATCCCAACCCAAAAGATTAGAAGTGATGTTACCAGAAAATTTTTTTTGATGCCACCTTTCTAGATTAGCAAAATAATCAGTAATTTAAAAGAATATAAATATTGGCAAGATTATTCATGCACCATTTAAAAAAAACTGCTTATTACAGCATTTGAATTGATTGGATGTTTGATAGATCTCTGTACTGGAAAGGGCCATTGGTTTACTATGAATGTGCCACTGCTGCCTCTTTTCTAAATCAGCATTCTTACTAAACAACAACATAAAATTATACTTATATAGCACCTCCTCGAAGAAGAGGGTCTTCAGACAGGCCTTGAAAGAGGCAAGGGAGGGGCGAGCGAGGCCTCTTTAATAAAATAAATTAAATTTATTAAAATAAACCCACTTCCCAGTTCTCTCCCCATACCCCTAAATAGTTTTATTGCTCAGGTGCTTAGCCAGCTTCCTTGTAGCCAAAAATAGAAGTCGCTGGGAACACTCAGCAGCTCGGCAGCATCTATGGTTTAAGGAAAATGAGTCAACGTTTCGGGCCCACGACCCTTTGTCAGAACAGCCGGGATGGATCGTGGACCCGAAACGTTGACTCACTTTCCTTTCTCCATAGATGCTGCCTGACCTGCTGAGTGTTCTCAGCGACTTCTGTTTTTGTTTCAGATTTCCAGTATCTGCAGTATTTTGTGTTTTCCTTATAGACAATTCTATTCAGCTTCAAGAACCATTGGTGGTGATAAATTCCAAATCCTAAGGGGTCAAAAAAGCTCATTTTTCTGCTAAAAATCCTGAGATTATGCCCCATTAATATTACCTGCATTTGATATAGCACCTTATCACGTTGTTGAGACAACTCAAAGCTTCACTGAATATAGTGTAAAGTTTAATTAATTGTATATGCTGTGGGTGCATTGTCATCGATTCCCCATGTAAAGGGTCATTTTTTCTCCTCTCTAGCCTATAATGTCCTTTCAGTGTCATACACACCTCTACCAGATATTCTGTTCCTATGCCATCCCCCATATATTTAATCTCTTAATGAATCTGCATTTTATCTCTCCATTTATACAACAAGTAATGGAAAGTCCAAAACAAATATTCCAAGTATGGCCTTACCAATACCCTATACAATGCCAACACAACTTCCATAAGTTTCTATTCAAAATTATGGCTTACAACACCCAGAATCCAATCTGCCTTCTTGCCAGCTTTCTTTGCCCCCTTCATGAATCCATGCTGACTATCTTGATGAACTTATCCTCTTCCCAAAGCTTATCCATTTTCTCCCCATTAGAATCGACTCCAACCTTTTTCTCCACCATTGATGACACTAACTGGCCTATAGTTCCCAGGTTTAGCATCTTCATTTTAATCAGCAATAAGAGTCACAAATGGAAACCCTGGGTATTGCCTCTAGGGCCACTGAAGTCAGTTGTTGTGTCCCAACTGCGGCTCTGCTCAAACCAGCTATTTCAACACGTCCAGCATTCAAGACTGAAATTCTGCTCTCGAAGTCTTTGTGCTTTGCTTTTACCCACTACAGGCCAGTTAGTCTAATCAGTGCGGGGAAAATGTTGAGAGTCAATTCTAAGGGAGGAAAATGGATAATGATCTTGAGAAGAATAAATTGAGCCATTGGAGGATCTGAAATCTCTAGAATTTAAGATTTGTCTCTTTAGTGTAATGTATAATGTACTTACCTCCTCTTGTTGGTCAATCAAATTATAGCACGCTAACACAATGAAGTCATTCCACCATGCCAAACCTCCAGTCACTGCCAGGTTTTGTTCCTAAAACAGAATGTGGAGTTTTGGGTCCTCTTGTTTGAAGGTAAAGTTTACATTAAGTCTAATTGTCTCCCTTGCTAGACTTTATTAAACAGTAAGTAAGATCTTTGGCGGAGTACATTTTGTTAATTACCAAGGTGAGAACATTTACTATGACAAGTGATATTCTCCAGGGATCAGTGGTGAAGCTACAGTTGTTTTCTATATGAATAGACAAGACTTAGCTTAGGATTGGGTTATATTGAATAATGAGAAAGAATTAAAGTGAAAAGTAAAACTTGATTTTTTCCAGACTCCTCTACCACAAGCACTATCTCCAAACACCTGCTAGATAGGAGAGTATCTTTCCTATCTTTCATATACTCTGTATATGTAAACACAATTTGAAAGTACTCGCTATATACTCTGAGAAAGGAAGCAATGCCTCAAACTACACTGAACCTTCATATGCATATCGAAAGGAGAGAGATTCCACTAAACATCCGAATAACATAACATGTAGGAGCAGGAGTAGGCCATTCAGCCCTTCGAGCCTGCCCCACCATTCAATCATGGCTGATCTTCTAATCTAACTCCAGCTAATAACCTGACTCTGCCTTATCCCCATATCCCTTAATCCCTTTTGCAATAAGAAATCTATCTATCTCAGTCTTGAATATGTTCAAGGAAATAGAAACCCAAGCAACTTCATAGCACAGAGGAAACAAACTTGTGTTAGAAAATGTTACAGAATACATTGAGGATGCACAAATAGAAGTTTTGCAGTATTGTCTTTGAAATGAAGTAGTTGAAAATACATGGTTCAGAATAATGTGGGTAAATTCTGCATTTTTCTGATTTGTCAAAGTAACTGACCAGGTGGCAGCACATGCCTCTCAGTAAGTGGTTTCTTCCTTCCTGGGTCCTAGACTCACCGCATTTTTGCTTCTGATATTGACTATTCTTATTTTGCAAATTGTGGGCCCTCAATCAGGCCCCAAGTATTTTTGCTGGATATTTCTTTCCCAGGGTTGATCTGTCGAGGATGGCAGAAATATGCATTCACTTTGGGCAAAAAATAACTTGTAATCGACTGAGCATTCTTGGCTCGAGGACTCTCAAGCTGAAATTCACTAAAAATTGAGGAGAGCTTTCATTTCAGTCCTCCTTAGCAGATGAACACTGGAAAATAAATATCTAAAAAAAATCCTTAGATGCGAGGCAGAAAAATTATAAAATATCAGATTCACAATGTTGCAGGCTCTTGGATAGGCTAGGAAAGGAAGAAACTACTCACCCACCTGCTCCTTTTTGCGAGGGTTAGTTACACAATAGAATACAAAAAATGCTACCCGAGTTATCAACATGCAATAGATTTGATATGTAACCAGATCTACCTTTGGATAAATTACAGGAGACATTCCAAGCTTGGAGAAGCAGAAGAACAATGCATTTTTTTTATAGTTTGTAATCGATTTGCTTTGGCTGTCATTACAAACAGCGCTTTACTTGCTGTTAAAATGAAATCCTTTCTCCCTCGAGGAAGATATTGGATTTCTAGCATGCATGTGACTTAACCCCGAATTGCCAGATGATCTCTGTATAAGACTATTGGAATAGCTGTTTGAGACACTTATGGCTCTTTACCACATGTTACTACTATTAAAATATGGCAAAAGATTTTAAGAAATATCAAAACAAAATACACTGATGACATACCTGGGTAATATTTCCAAAAAGTTTCCACTTTCGGGTAAACAATGAATAATGTGCAATTCCATATCGGCCTGCCACTGCCACACTCTGGCCCAGACGGTCTATTGCCGAGAACTGAGAATGTAAAGAATTAATACAAAATAAAACATCACCAATAGGAATGACCAATTCCACTATTTAACTTCAAAAGAGCAAAACTATAGCTCACCTTTATCGGCCAATTACTTTCTAGATAGGTGCTGTGAATCTATGGAAAAATAATACATATCTTTACATTAAAAAACACAACATGGAGGTCACAATTTATCTAAACAACAACCACCACCACATGCATTTATATAGCCCCCTTCATATAAAATACAACAACAGCAACAAGATTACATTTGTATAGTGCCTTTCACGTCGGGAGAACGTCCCAAGGCGCTGAAATGGCACAGAATAATATCTGAATACTTAAAGCGAAGTACAGGGGAATATTTTCATGGGAAAGTACAATCCTGCTCTCTACTGATATACGAAGCAGCTTACAATAACTATAGTTACAGTTAATTCATTAACTGCCATTAATTAAATAATTACATATATAGCAGTAAGTAGGAACCTGGTTGTTAGTCAATTAGCGGATCGCTTTCCAGGGTTAATAAACTCTTTAAAATAAAAAAAATGTGGTATCCCAATCCACTACTGTTTGTGGGACACTGCTGTGTGCAATTATCTGCTCTGTTTCACCCACAAAATATACAGTCAACTCACTTTACAGTATATTTTGTGAAGCTCTTTGAGATGTCTCAACGATGATAAGGTGCTATAACAAATGCAAGGATTATTATTATTATTAACAATGAATATCCCTAACCTCCTTCTATTTTTCTCCCTCCTCACCACACTCTGGGAAGACCAGGGCCAAATTAACCACATACATAATAATAATAATAATCCTTGCATTTGATATCACGCTTTTCACGTCTTCTGGACGTCTTAAAGTGCTTCACAGAATATGCTGTAAAGTGAATTGACTGTATATTTGTGGGCGAAACGCGGCAGCCAATTGCACACAGCAATGTCCCACAAACAGTCGTGGATTGAAAATGACCAATTTATTATTGTTTTGTTTTGGATGGATTATTATTAGGCGTGTGGAATAAGGGAACTTGCCCAAGGTTTTGCCCTTCCTGGAACTGAACCCAGGTGTCTCACTTGCAAGACGAGTGCTCTAACCACTGAGCAACAGGACTCCACAGCTGGTGTAATAAGGTTAACATTTTTGCTCCATTGCCATCCCCTCTGGAGACACTAGCTCAGCATTGATCAAAATGAGATTAGCAAGAAATTTATTATTGGGAGCGAAGACTTGATCCTGAGATACTGGAAGATTGAGACAATTGAATCAGGTGTGTGGTTATATTATATTGAAGACAAACTGGTAAAATCAGGAAAATGCATTGTTTGAAAGTAGTTTCGGGGTTTTGAGAATTTGAAGATACTGAAGAATGCAAGTGTGTAAATGTTTATTTTAGTATGAGTCTTGCAAGAAGGGACCAAATCCTTAAAGGAGGAAGATTTAATGCTCAGACAGGGAATGGACCAAGACAATAGTTCTGCCTCTGAGCACTTCAAGATGCTGCCTTGATTGAAGGGTGCTATATAAATACAAGGTGTTGTTGTTGTCTTGGTGTAATTGGTACTGTAGCCAGAGATTAATTTGGAATTGTGTGTGCTTTTTCTGTCAGATTAATGAACACACAAATTCATCAGATTTAACATAAAATGAGTAAGAAGGGGGGAAAATATTTAAAAGGATAAGAGAAACTCGATGTAGGATAGTTACTTTAAACCCTAAAGTGCAGTTGAGGCTCAGCACTGGCAACAATGATCTACAAGCCACACAACAGCTGAAATTCACTCAACTAAGTCATCAGTTCAGGAATCCAGTTATAAGAGGGTGGATTACAAAACTATTTCTGGAGTTGGGAAAACATTTGACAGAACCCAAGACATACACAGCTGCACTTTAAGTTAAACTTTTTTCAGAATAAATTGATTGGTAACCCTTTGATTGAATATCTAGGGTAAGTTATGCCACAAAATGCACGTCATGTTAAGTATCAAACATACCTGCCTGAAAAATTCATGTCATTCTGAGAACTTGTTGAGACTTACTTGTACAACGAGCCAGTGCCTGTGCCCTAATAAAGTGCTTAAACTCTGAGGAACAGCAATATCATCCAACAGAGGGTTCTTTTCCCTGACCGGCTGATGGCCTGAGTTAGCTGAAGCGGTGCTTGAATTCTGATGTAAAGCATCACCGGAGTTCAAATACAGGCGATCCTCACCCTGGAGCAGCACTTGTTCCTGGTTATTCTGAAAAAATCATCACTTTGTATCTTAACTCATTCTGTGAAGTGCTTTGTAAGACATGGCTTAATGATAATGATATGGCTATGTGTCAAATAAAACACCAATGTTATATAAATCTTTTTCCATGGTTATGAAAGTATAAGATTTCTTTTCTTGACTTATAGAATCCGCTGCATTTTATATCTCATAAATCAAGACTTAATATCAGTTTGGGGTTAATGACAGACATCTTTGCTGGTTAAATCTTTTCTAGTGAAACAGTAACATTACACTTTTTTTGCATTTTTATGATTGATAGGAGACAAAAGCAGTTGAAAACCTGATTTAGAAGAGACACGCAGCATGGCTTGCATGTAAACACACCAGGGTCTAATAGCTATGATATTGAAAAGACAGAGTTCAAGCCTCTATTCAAACAGCAGTTTATTCTGAAAGTTAATCATGTTTAAAGTATGCAAATAGTAAAATGGAAAGGGAAATTTAACATTGCGATTTTTAAATTAAATGATATCCATGGAATTTAGTGCTTATCAAGGTGAAATGTGTCATTAATAATAGAACATTTCAACATTAGTACCTTCCACTCCTTACTGAGCCAGTGTAAACAGTTTTACATTTTCTACACACTGCCCCAATGGTCAGAAAACTGGACAGTTTGTATGATGGGCCTCTTTTCCTAGAAAATAGGTTACAATTACCTAATTCATTTCATGTAGGATCCAAAAAAGTTTCAGAGAAGGGAAACTTTCATGTTAAACTGGAACCGAACCAAATTGTTGAAAGTAAAAAAAAATCCAATAAAACAACTGCAACACAGTCCCAAAAACACTATGTTTCGGTATTTATTTATCGGCATTGAGTGGAAAGTCATTTATTTTGAGAGTCCCTGATGCTCTTTGATTCTATGCAGGCTAAATGTTCATTCCACCAGATATAAGCATATATTGTACACGAAAGCAGACATCAAAATAAACCCATTCCTGGTATGAAGGACAATGTCTTCAATTTACTGTAAATAAATTGGGTGTAAAACAAGGTGCAAAAACGGCAACTTCCAGTTGTCAGGTTGCTGTTGATGTCAATTACTGTGTGTTGTGCGTCAAGTACAGGAAGCTAATGCTGTTTCCTGCACACTGTGAATATAGCTTTCTGCAAGATACACTACAGACATTACATTGCAAAGGAAGCGATGACAGCAGTGTTCCCTTCACAAAGGAAGTGACTTATCAACAACGATGACAACAAGATTACATTTGTATAGCGCCTTTCACATTTGGAGGATGTCCCAAAGCGCTGGACAGTGTACAGCATTCAGACCCGAACTGGGGTCAGGAAGGGAGAAGGGAGGGGAAGGGGGGGGGTGAGCGATGGCATGGTCGAAGAGGAGGGTTTTGGGGCGGGACTTGAAGGAGGGGGTGAGGCAGAATGATTGGGGGATGGAGTTCCAGAGGTTGGGGGCAGAGTGGCTGAAGGGTCTCCCGCCAATGGTGGGGCGGGTGGGTCGGAGGACGTGGAGCAGGCCAGAGCCGGCTGAGCAGAGGGAGCGGGCGGGTTGGTAGGGGGTTTGTAGGTCACAGAGGTAGGGTGGGGCAAGGCCATGGAAGGCTTTGTAGGTGAGGACCAGGATCTTGAACTGGATCCTCTGAAGGATAGGGAGCCCATGGAGTCGGGCAAGAATGGGAGAAATGGGGTCACGGAGTTTGGTGCGGGAGAGGACACGGGCTGCAGAGTTCTGGATTATCTGCAGCCTGTGGAGGGAGGAGTTGGGAAGGCCGACAAGCAGGGTGTTTGCATAGTCAAGTCTGGATGTGATGAAGGCATGAACAAGAGTTTCAGTGGCCTGAGGGGTGAGGTAGTGGCGGAGTCGGGCGATGTTGCGGAGGGGAGGGAAAGCAGAGCAGGTCATGGCTTGGGTGTGGGGAAGAAAAGACAGTTGAGGGACGAACAAGACACCTAGGTTCCTTCTGGCTTGGTGAGTTGTAGTGTGCAACCATGGAGGTTGATGCTGCCAGAGCCTTATCATTAACATCAGTAACATTATCACAATATCAGTAATATTGTCACATGCACAGCTTGCAGAAAATTATGTTAGTGGTACTTTCTGTGTAAAGCATAAGAAGCAATATAAGATTTTTTTAAAAAATGCAGGAAGATGGCTAGAACCATAGAAATGGATACAGCAGGTCCAAAGTTCACCAGCAATCTTAAGTGAGGCAGCAGTGTATCAAAAGGGATCCCATGCAAATGAAAGAACTGATATGGCTAATGATGGTACATTTCAATAGCCTTTGATATTTGGACTTTTACATTCTCTTTGGAAAATGTGTGATCCAGGACTATGCCCCCAGGGCAGTATTAAATGTTTTAGGACCCCAGCCAGTAACTAAAATGCTATCAGGAGTCACTCTTGGTTTTGTAACCTACCATGCATGGGTTGACGGTTAAAGCACTTTTTATGAATTGGAACTGTAGAATTTCTCCTTGCTGAACTGCATTTTTGTTCTCCAAATCATTTTCTGTTTGAGGAGCGCCATCACTGCAAATCACCCAAAGGTGGTAGCCTTCAGCACCCCAGCTCTGCAAAATGGAACAACGTCAACAATGGCTAATCAAAACAAAAGCATTTTGTGTTCAAATTTTCTCACAAACTGGATATCAAAAGATAAATAATTTTCAGTTACTACAAGCAGTCCGAGACGCTACCCCACGTGAAGGGTGCTATATAAATGCAAGTTGTTGTTATTTGACCTTAAGAAGCAATTTTGAGCAAGTAGGAAAATTGCTCTCCCCACGTGCTATTTCCAGGCCAAAAAGACCACCTGAGATAGCACTAGCTGGTATTTTGTGAATCCAGGCTTTTTTTAAAAAAAAGCACACATCCAGTTTATTTCCTGTGCTGTGAAGAAAAGTACCTTTACAAAATTTATGGGTAAAGCATTCCTTCCACCATGTGCATTAAATATATTTTAAATTATATTTACTTAAGAGTATTGAGATTTAAAACCTGTTATTTTTTAATTGGAAAAGGAACTAGTGAGATTATTGATACATTTGCAGCTCTATTTCAGAGGTTTCCTTGCTAAATAACGATTATTGAGACATCAGAAGGGGTCTAAAGGTATTTCAAAACATCTGAATTAAGCAATAGAATAATTTCAGAATTCTATAATTTTGACCACAATAAATTTTAAGAAAATAATCATCATTTCAGACAGGAAACCGGCATAATTTTCAAACGCTTAGAAGTAGCGGCAATATCCCTTTGGTCATATTTCAAAAGAGGTCACTCACCATAGAGCTGATCTTTATAGGCTCCTTTTTCGTGCCATCAGGACGATAGCTTTTTTTAAAAAAAATGTTTAGTTGTACATATTAGTTGAAGAATGTAATTTATTGAACAATGAGATCTACAGAATGCAAAAGTAACGATAAATAATTCTCATCTCGGGCAAAAATACCAGAGATAAAGTGGAGCAATGCAGTGGAGTCATTTAAAGGCAAAACTCAGTTTTTGTTTGTAGATTTATATTTTACGCTTTGCTTTCAGCGCTTTGAGATGTCCTCCTGATTTGAAAAAATATTTGTAACTTGTATTGCAGGAAAAATCCACAATTAATTGTTATTTATACGATGAAATGGATTTATACAGAAAATGGAATGAGCTTGAAAACCTTCTTAAGTTGTCGAAAATGACACTAATACCACAGTAGTATTCAGATCAGTACAGAATTGCATAATGCATCACACTACTTTACTTTGAAATTGCTTTTAACAATTCTATTTCATCAGTAAGAGGCAGCTAAATACCAGCCTAAGTATGTGTTAGTCCAAAACTGATTTATGAAGAGGAAACTTCTTTACTGTATAATGTACATTATCTCATGCAATGTTAAAGATCCAATAATGTCTGAAGGAAATACTCACGCAAAATCTCCACCTAGTGTGCAAAATAGGTGAGCCCCAAAAACACTCCACAAGGATAAACCGCCGCATTCCCACGTTACCATAGCAACACTGCAATCAGGTGACCATCTGATCAGTTTAACAGCACCCGTTTTATTCCAGATATCTGTTGAAAAATAAAAAAATAACTTAAATCGAAGCACACTAAATTCTAGATTAAGATCTTATAGAACAGCTGTGTAGAAATTCTACAATGACCCGTTGGCAAATGGAAGTAAAATCCACGCAGAAAAGTATTTTGCAGAAATTTCTGGTACACAAATACAGATTACTCAAAACATTTGAAAGATAATTCACACAGTCATACCTGAAAAATAATAATGCTTGTATTTTCACATCAACATGGAGTCTCAAAGGACTTCACAGGATTCACTATTTTGTAGGCATAAAGTTATCCTATTCTCTTTCAAATGTATGAAGTGCAGTGGATTTCGATGACTTGTGTTTTTAATTTAGATTTCCTAAGTATTAAAATAACACTCAGAAATGTTGTCTTGGTATGCTTTGCCATTTTTATCGATTTACCCAATATTCTTCAGCCAGGAAGCACTCTAAAGTCATTCTTAGCTGAGCCCAAACTGAAATTTCGCACTGCTTTGGGACAGGTTGGGGATAAAATAGGGAGAAGAAATTACAAAGATTATTTCCCTTGACGTACCACTTCAAGGAACAGCATATGTTGGCAAGGTACTGCTGGATGACTTGTGAAACATTCATCATAGCGGATGCTCCTGTTGCATAAATAAGCTGACATTTTATCTGTCAGCTCAGTTACTTACACAAAATAAACCATGAATTCTCCCTTACCAGGATAATGCTTTGGAGTCAATTCTAATTTGTGGGATATCTGCATCGCTCCTGTAGTTGTATCCATTGTATAAACCAAAACAGAACCACTGTGGAAAGTATTAAACAAAACCGGGTTTTAAAAATGTTAAGACATTTTCAGTATTGAACAGCTTATTGCAAACAAAATATGTACAATTAATTGCCATTTATGGTAAAAAGTCAGAAATAGACTATCTAAAATTTACATTGAGATGTAATTCATAAACAATTGTGACCTGATGTTTACACAAAATTGAAACTTAAGTTACCAACAGAATAGGGCTCACTTACTTTGCACACCCAAATGCCATTAACCTGTACTTGCTGTTTACTGCCACACATGTACCATCAGTAATGTCCTGTGCCCAGACACCATGCAAATCCTGAAGAGTAAAAAACAATTTAGCATGAGGTAGACAGATCTAACAAATAGGCTCTTAGCTAGGTCTAATCAAACAAGTAGTTTCTTCCACCAATATAAACTTACAATTGGAGGCAGTCAACAATGAACACACTTTTTAAATGAAGGACATTTTTTAAAGGAAGTGTTCTCATTTGTGGGTTTGAATTCTGGCAAACAGTTTCAAATAGGTGGTGGGGGGAAGTGGTCTGAATAGTGAGTTGTTCTCATTACTAAAGTAATGACTGGTTCAGAGTTTTTTTTCTGCAACATAGAAATTTTCACCTTACTCTGAAAGTTACTCAAAAACATTTACTAACCTGCTTTCACATTCACAAAGCTTTGATACCCTGACTGCTTTCCCTTAACCAAGTGTCTCTCACAAAATTCTGTTTTATCTGGACTATTTTGATTCTACACATGCTTAATAACATAATGCAACTTTAAACCATACCTTATTTGTAATATACTTTGAAGAAATTATCCGCCATTTCCAAAATACCCTCATGAAAAACTCGGTCAATAGCAGCTACTATGATATGCATCACTTCATAATCCATTCAAATTAGTTTGGTATTTTTGGTGGGGTGTTTTGTGCTCAGAAAACTAAAACCATCCACTTATATCAGCAAACACTCCAATCTATGGTTGCATACGTGAAGCTTGGTACACTCTAACCCAACAAGACTCGACTCCAAAGCTCTTTCCTTTCTCACATCTCTCACAGTGAAGTGAAAAACTGAGATGTGAGAGTTACACAGTGCACCAACACACTACAACATGGAGTGGTAGAACTTAGGTCTGTGCCAGTGATCCCCATACATACATTTACTTAGCAATGCCACTGTGTGGTGATGTACAGCAGAGGTCAACATGCTTCTACCAGGTAAGGAGCATCTCCCTAGTCTGTCACTCCCACTGTTGTGCACCTATAAGTAACTGAGCACAGAACAACAACAACTTGCATTCATATAGAACAATATTGGTAGGAGGCTGAGAGCAGGCTGTCCGTCCTCTCATTCAGGGATGATATATAAAGAAAAGTTTATACTTAAAATAAATAGCAAAGATGAACTATTCCTAAAACTATAATGCAATTGTAACCGCCGCAATATTGTGATGCCATCATTCAACAAACAGAGCAGATTGCACATTCACTGAACCTTTATTGTCATAAGCTGTAGTATTAAAATGATTCATAACAACATGCAAAAACAAATGCAACAAACAAAGCAATACCTCATTTCTCAATTTGCTGGACATGGGAGTGATGAAGCCAATCCGACCATCATCAAAAACCACAGCAAACCCGTCAAGAGTGGCAGCGTATTCCATACCTCGGATATGCACACATTCAAAATCCAACAAGGGGCCTGTTAGCAAAACAAGAACAGTTATCTTTTAGCGGTTACATTACATACGGTTACAATTGTACTCTGCTCATGAAAGCTTTTATTATTTAATATATCTTCCATCTTGAAGATAATTGGACATGAGCATCAGACACGTTAATATGTAGTGCTTATACACTTTATGCCCTTTAATGAATGAGTGAAGCCACAAAATGACCAATATTCACATCAACACATTTGGGTTTCCTTACCACAGATGAAAGTAAACTAGTTCTTTCAGGAGTACCCAGGCTGCTTGTGCTCAGGNAAAAAAAAGCTACTGCCAAAATTCAGGCTACCAATAGGAGCAACACTGTATGGTAACTAGAGGCACAGAGAATCATCGAACATTACAGAGCAGAGCAGGCCATTTAGCCCATCATGCCTGTGACGGTTTTCTGAAAAAGCTATCCATTTATTTCCATTTCTTTCATATATTTTTTCTTTATAAAGCACTAGAAAGCATAGATATGAACATCAGTTTGGCGCTAACATTGAGTGACAAGGATTCAGAGATCCAATGAGAACAATTACTCATTTCAATTTTTCAATTCTTAAAAAATATATAGTAGTAAATATGTAGTGCAGTGTCTCAAATCATTTTGCTGTAATTGCTACAAAGGAATGGTACTATTTGTAGGTAAGCTAAGGAAGCAATCTGCATATAGCAGTATCCCATAAACAGTCATGAAGTGGATGAGCGATTTTACCTGGAGGAGTGTTGCAAGGAACCTAGGAGAAACTCTACATTATTCTGATAGTGCCATGGGATCTAGAATGCCTACCTGATCAGGCAGACAGAACCTCATCTGAACATTTCATCAAAAGGATGGCAACTCTGTCAATTCAGCATTCCCCTAGGACTGCACTGGAGTGTCATCTAGACTGAGTTTATAGCCCTGACATGAGGCTTGAATCTACAACCTGCTGACATAGGGACAGGAGTTCCACCAACTGAGTCAAAGATAACACACAATCCAAGTGGAAAAAAATGGAAGCTGGGAGGGAACCATACTCTTTAAGGTTTTAAAATAATGCAGATTCATTGTATATAGAAATATTTTACTCAAAAAAAATCAAAAGACTCAAAGGACATGATTAGGCTTAGGAAGCAATAAACTCTACTTATGAAACAGGCCACCATCTCACAGTAAAGATCAATTCAGGTGAAACAGTCAAAGGGGGAATAATTCATCAAAGAGTCACAAATCCTCAACAGCTTAAACAAAGCCAGCCAAACTATTTAAATGAGCTTCACGCCTATGTTCTCATCGTCTTGCTTCTGAAAATTTTAGTGTACTAGCACTACAACACTAAGAGACAGCAGCCTATACAAAATTTAGTTGGGGTGAATACGAAAGGTAAAAAATTTAATATTTTGGTGTAATAACAGTATGCATGTCAACATTATCTGTCATTTGATTGACATTTAAATAACATGGAAGACATACATGCTGTAAATTCAGATAATTTTGTAGTACTTCAATACAAAAAAATTTGAATAACCAATATTCAATTCACTTATTTTGTGAAGCATTTGAAAAATAACCTATTATTCATAGAAACACTATTCAAATTAATCACTGAACCATCAGCTTTGAACGGTTCCACATAAGATCAAAAAGTCTAGTTAAGCAATGTTTCTAGTTTCTGAATCACACTCCTAAAGTCCAATCTCCACATTCCTGAAATTAAACCATTGAATGAAGCACAAAGAAAGCACATTATATGGTAGATTTGGATTGATTATCACAGTGTGCACTACTTGAGCATTCATCTACATCTAACACAATCTGTTTTCCTGGACTTATGAAAACCCAGATTCAATAGCAGCATTCCATAAATGAAAGGAGTGCATGAACAATGTTCAGCCAAAGGAATGCGACACTTGTGCCAAATACAGCATACGCACACATGCATGTGCACGTCTGGTTTAATTTCAGTACCTTCCCAATTCAAGCAAAATAGAACTTGCATAGGGTCTGCAGAAAGACAAGTGTTAATTCTTCCATTAATTTCCCAATCTCACAGCCAACATCCCTCTCCCACGCCCCCACTCTGCACAAAAACTCTGCAGAAAGTCCAAAATGCCAGGTGTCATCAAATCTGCTTTTATTACAGAACACTCGACATCTGGCAACTACTGGAGTTAGGCCACAGAGTAACAAAATCCACTGATACCTCCTCCCGCTCAGTTAGTTCCACTGAACCACACTAACCAACACAAAACCATAGCAGAGGGTGATGAAAGTAAACTTTTTTTAAAAAAGTTCCAGCCTCCCACCTTAACATGGCTCAACAAAACTAGGCCGGTACCCCACTTAGGAGGCAATAGCATTTGAAAACACACTTCTGAAAACTGGCCATCAGAAGAAAGGAAACCTCAGCCAAATTTCAGATTGCTCAATGGGCATCTCATCTAATTACTTTTGTGATCACAGGATTCTGGTCATCAATATCATGGTCTCAGCATACATTTTGCAATGGAGACAAGGTATTTAGATGCTGAAAAGAATTGTTCATTTGTGAGGAACCTTTCAAGCATAATTTTAAAATGTTTTTTAAAATTAAAGTTAATTCTGAGACCATCAGATATATTTTGTTATGGCCAAGTTATGATGATAGATTATTTGTTCTATAATACAATCTTACAGGGTTTAACATTTTTATCCATATATTCAATATGGAAACTCCTCTCACACTAAGCCAGGACTGAGAAACATCAACCAACAATCAGAATTAGATATTTATAATAATAATTGCATTTAATATAGTGCCTTTCATGTCGAGCAGATGTCTCAAAGGAGTTCAGAGGATATACTGTAAAATGTTGTGACTATTTTGTAGGCGAATGTGTGGTGGCAGTTTGTACCTAGCATTATCCCACAAAAAGCCATGAAATGAATGACCAATTTTATTTGGGGGATTGTTGGTCGGGACACTGGGATAAAATCGCTTCTCTTTATGGAATAGTGCCATGTGGTCTTTAATATCCACCTGAACAGGCAGATGCGACCTTGTTTTAACGTCTCATCCAAAGCACATTTAAAAACAATTAATCTACTGGAAATTTACTTCCACCATTCAGCTATCATTTCCACCCACAAAACACACTCATCACTTTACAGCAGATCCCGTGAAGCACTTTGAGATATCTCAACCGGACACAATAAGGCACTATATCACAAGCAAGATTATTATTTGCAATCGTAACATCCCTAAAGTATATGGTAAAGATCAATATCTTTACAAACTGAAATCAGCAAAAGTTCAGATCGATTAACTTTATAAGAACTTACTTCTTGAAGACTGTAAATCTACAGAGAAGGGAATGGTACAAAGGTTGATGGCTTTCCTTCCATTCGTCAGACCATCCCAGTGAATAAGATGGAGTATCCCATCATTAGTAGCAATTACTAAGTCATCTTGCATAGACTGCAAACTGAGAAAGAGAGAAAATTTGACGGTTATTACCACAAAAAAACAACAACTTGTACTTATATAGCGCCCTCCACCCAGGGAGGCATCTCAGAGCCCTTACCATCAAAAAGAGAGAACATTTAGTTTCAGTTGTAGTAATGGCAAAAATTAAAAATATATAACATATCACAATTCAAATACTTGTATTTAGATTAAGAGTCTATGATGGAGGGAGTGAGGAATGAGCAATAAATAAGAATTGAAGAGTGAAGGGTACAGGTTGAAAGAAATTGCCTTAAGTGGGAAGAGGATAAGATGATGAAAGGAATTGAAGGTTAGGACAGGGATATAAAGGGTGGTCTATTGGGGGTTCAGTGTTATTATGGAGATGATTAGAGCATAAGGAAGACAGAATAGAGAAAGGGTTTTGTTTGTATTTAACTGAAGACAGCATAGGCTCATCTGCTACTTGATAACCTAGTACTTTAACCAAGGCAGTCTCAATGCTCTGGGTAAGTCGAAAGCTGAACTGGATGGTCTTGGACAAGGAATGGCAAAAATAGTTAGGCAGTATTGGTCATTTCCAATGTTTTAGAAATGGCAGATAGAAAATTGAACCGGGAAAAAAGTCAAAGTGGCGATGACAGTCCCTTTGAACGGTGAAGGTATAATTCCCCATGGTAGGGGTAGGTCAAAGATGTCAGTTGGGATGTGGTGGCATGCCATGGTTTACATTTACTACATAAATCAGTAGTACAACCTTTTAATGCCTATAATCAAACTACCAAACAAGATACAAGGGCAGAAGTCCAGGTTGGAATAAACTGCTTCATATATTTACAAAGCCATATGCAACATACAAGACAGAAAATGGTGCAAGGATTACCTTGTGATTTGCACTTGAAAATCCAGCACTTTCTTCATCTCTAGACTTAGGGATGGGGCACATTGTTCCTCCTTGTATCCTGCTGTCATTTTTACTCGTGGACTGCCTCTACGTGAAGGAAAAAAAGGATAGTTTGTTGAAGTTTTAAGGACTTACTCTTGGAACTGTATTTAAAAATTTGGACAAGATACTATAAACACCTAATTCATTTTACAACCTTCACTATTGTTATAATACATTAGAACCCAGTTATAAGGCCCTCTTTAGAATGATGGATCACTTATAGTGTGGATGTGCTATGGCCCCATAGTTTGCTTGGCACAGACTGTTTGGCTTGCTATGCACACTGTTATAATGTCGCAAGTCCTGTCTAACATCATGTGGAAGTGGTGACCACTGATCAGACAAGATTGATTAGGATTTTGTGGAGCTTAACTTCCCCCATATAACTGGGTTCTACTGTAATCTTTCCAGTTAATATAGCGTATATATCACCTCAAAACATTTAATTGCGAATTGTTGTCACAAGTTCATATTTGTAGACAAACAGCAGTCAATTCTCACACAGCAAGGTTGAACATGAAGTGAATGACCAATTTATCTGGAGAATTGTTGGCCAGAGGGAGAAATTCCCTTCACGTTTTGATCAGTGTCAAGGGCATCCACCCAAATAGTCTCTCATCTGAAGGACTGCACTCCCATAAAACTGCACTTCTCAAACATTGCATTGAAGTCTCAGCCGAGACCACGGTTGGGCAAAAGACGCCCGGGGGCCATATCCTGCCCGCCAAATGATTCTGTCCGTCCCGTCATTGTGTCTAGCAATAGAAAAAAATTATAGTTTGTTCAGTCCCAAAAAAGTCTCACAAATTTTGCATTTGAATCTGACCGGGAACATCAGCCAATCACACTGCTCAGTGTGCGCTCCCTTCAGTGTTGAATCCGGCTGATGTCAGAAATGGACAGATCGCCAAATTTTCAAACATGTGCGTGTGGCAACCAGGGCAATACTTTTCAGCGGCAACTGCGGCAATACTTTTCAATGAAGAGGACGTTAGTTCGAAATGAGTTTATCAAAGAAACGGAAAGTGGACCCTGAAGGTCGAATATTCAACAAAGAATGGACTTCTAAATTTTTTTTACCAGTGTGGGTGGAAAACCTGTGTGCTTAATTTGCAAAGAAAGTGCGGCAGTGCTCAAAGACTACAACTTAAATAGCCATTTTGAGAGTCCATGACCCCCACCCTATTCACATAATTGAGAGAAGAGTCAATTAAGAATTACAGGTAAATTAGTCACCATTGGCAAACAAGATACATTTTGACAAGTGTCCAGCAGGAGACCATGAATAAGGCTGAAGATTTACACATTAACTAATATGGTACTCAAAGTGCTGGATGTGAATCTAATTTAAAGAAAGGGAGATGAGCCTAACCCTTCAAAAAAAATCTGAATTCAGGCTTAAAGTATTACATTTACAGTATAATATCTATTTTTTCATCCAGGATAAGGAAACCCAACATCTGCAAGTCCACTATATTTTAATTACATTTGGATAGTGGAATAACATAGAAAGCATTGAAATAATTGTTTAAACAACAACAACAAGATTGCATTTATATAGCGCCTTTCACGTCAGGAGGACGTCCCAAGGCACTGGACAGTTGGGTCGGGACCCGAGCAGGGGCGAAATGGTCAGGGGAGGGGAGGGAAAGGAGGGAGCGAGGAGGATATGTCTGAAAAAGCGCAAGAGAAAACTGGAGAAGAAACTGGATGTTTCTATTTCATGTTGGAGACTTTCAGATATACATTCTACCCACTCAGGGTGCAAATCTGGTCGATTATTATGTATCATAATATGTCTTGTGTTAACCGAAGAGTGCAAGACTCAGAGGAAATAAAGGAAATAGAAATGCAATTGCAAACTGCTCTGACAAATACTTTGCAGAAGAAAGATGGAGGAAAAAGTCATACATTTTAAACTATCAAAATTCAAATGTTAAAGGTTCAAAAGAGCACAACTGAAAACACATCCTTCAAGTATGGCTAATCAATTCAGAAACTAAAGAAGTTAAACAGTTTGTTAAACAAGGGAGAACAAGTTTGCAAGGCTACGGGGAGAGTGCAGGGGGAGAGGGATTGATTGGGGTAGCTCTTTTCAAAGAGATGGCACAGACACAGTGGGCCAAATGGCCTCCTTTTGTGCTGTATAATTCTTTGATTCTATGAGTAACAAAAAGGTAATGTTCACCTTCTTCAGTGGGTTAAAACAATCCCATTTAAAATGAAAGCTCCACCATCCTGTGCACCAGAATGCACAAGGGCCAATCAAGAACCAACCATACTCCGACCAAACAAACTCGATAAATTTCACATGTGTAACTGCTTAAATGGCTATAACCAGTACAGACTCCCACACGTTCCAGTTGTGGTTTCACATCTATTCTCAGCAGCCAAGAAAGACCATAACTGGCCCCATAATCCTTACTGACCCAGCTATATGTCTGCTGGTTGGCTACAATCCAAGAGTCAGTCTGCCACCCCCGCCCACCATGTTTACCACAACGTTAAGATGCATTTCCGCTACCCCAAAAAAATTGACATGAAACTCCTGTATTTTTTAACCCAGAAAACGAGAACAAAACAAATTCCTACGTATATATTATAAAATCTCAATTTAAAAGTAAAAATTCCTCCAATGCAGCACAAGGCTAGTATGGTAATTTTGTATTCATTGGTAAGTGCACAATTTGAAAACATATTGAAAAAGCAGTCAACTTGGCATAAGGTCCTGTGGCTTAACAACAAAGGCCCAGCTTTTCCTTTGAACCCAACCAGCACTTATTATGTTTGCTAGAAATAACCTCTGCATAGCTGTGGGCAGGCTCTTTTACCCTATCCAATTCTGTGATGACGGACAGAAGACTTGATATGCATAGCATGTATTGGGGCATCTATACTCTGGAATATGCCCTATTTAAAAGACATATTTATCCTCACCAGTTGAATCAGGAAAAACATGGATCCTTTCTTAAATACTACTGGTAGTAATCTCTAACTGTCTCAGTCCCCCACCCCCCCCACAGTCTGGTATGCTGTTTCTCAGGGCAATGTCCTCGGTCCCCTCCTCTTCAACCTATACATGCTCCCTCTTGGTGACATCAGACATGGAGTCAACTTCCACACGTATGCGGATGACACCCAACTCTACCTCTGCCTCCACCCTTGATTCCAGGACAACTGAGGTCCTGACAGAATCTCTGTCTGACATCAAGTCCTGGATGAGAGCCAACTTTGTACAGCTAAATGTCAGCAAGGCCGAGGCTCTCCTGATTGGCTCTCGCCAGAGCCTCCGCACCTCAGGCACTGGCAGCATCAGCATCCACGATTGCACACTCCACCTCACCGGCCAGTCAGGAACCCGGGGGTCTTGTTTGATCCTCAACTGTCCTTTTTTCCCCATATCCGTGCTATGACCTGCTCTGCCTTACCCCACCTCTGCAACATTGCCCGACTGTGCCACTGCCTCACCCCTCAGACTGAAACCCTCATACACGCCTTCGTCACCTCAAGCTCGACTAGGGAAACTCCCTCCTTGTCGGCCTTCCCAACTCTTCCCTCCACAAGCTGCAGGTCATCCAGAACAACTCTGCAGCTCTCCCCCACCAGGCTCTGTGACCCCCCCACCACTCCCACCCTCGCCCGGCTCCACTGGCTCCCCATCCCACATAGGATAGAATTCAGAATCCTTGTCCTCACTTTCAAGGCCCTCCGTGGCCTTTCCCCCTCCTACATCTCTGACCTGCTGACCCCCTATCAACCTGCCCGCTCCCTCCGCTCAGCGGGCTCCAGCCTACTCCATGTCTCCTACGCGACCCGCCCTACAATTGGCACCCGGGATTTCAGCCTCTCTGCCTCCACCCTTTGGAACTCCAACTCACAATCCATTCGCCTTCTTCAAGGCACAACTGAAAATCCTCATTTTTGACCTTGCCCTCAGCCGCCCTCCTACCTCTCTGCCCTCCCTCATCCCATCCCAGGGTCCTGATCCCTGACTGTTCAGCGCCTTGGGACATCCTCTCGACACGAAAGGCGCTTTACAAATGTAATTTTGTTGTTGTTGGTTACAGATTAGTTCCAGATGTGGAGCTTCTGGTGTTGTAATGATGCTGGAAGCTTCTAGCTGTCAAGGAATGTCTCAGTTCAGAATGCTGTCTGGAACCACCACGTCATGACTTACCTTGCTGGTATCGTTCTCATTATTCTCACTTTCCTTTATGCCTTTTCCAGCTCTAACTGCTATGATAAGATATTTTCACCAATCTTTATGCTAATGTAATCTTGTCTATATGTATTGTGACTATTATTGGGCATGATCAAGATACTGTTGTATAAAACGCACGTAGAATTCCCTGAGAAAATGGAACTGTAACAACAATGCAACTTCTCCGTTTTAAAACAGGGTACGGATTAGTTTTAACAGTATAGGCTACAAACTAATTCAGTAATGTTTTTCAATATGGTAAAAAAAAATCATGAAAGTATTCAAACAACTGGACTGACATCAAGAGATTTGTTTGTTTTTCTTGGGAGCAAGAGCCATGAAAGAATGCCAGGAAATGAACGAGACGAACTAGCAAAACCACTGAGAAATCTCAGGAATTGAATAATGTGCCACAAAGGAAAAGGCTGAGACCAATGATTGGTGTAGGGAAGTGCAAAACAAAATGTACTATTCCTAATAATAGGAGCCATTGATTATAATAATAATCCTTGTATTGATAGAGCGCTTTTCACGTCTTCTAGACGCCTCAAAGTGCTTCACAGAATATACCGTAAAGTGAATTGACCGTATATTTGTGGGCAAAATGCAGCAGCCAATTGCGCACAGCAATGACCCACAAACAGTCGTGGATTCAGTGACCAAATTATTATTTTTTTTAGGGATTATTATCCCCGGAAAAGCGATCTGGCAATCGACTAACAACCGGGTTCCTACTTACTGCTAAGTAAACTGAGGCATGTGGAGTAAGGAAACTTGCCCAACACTTTGTGCTGCTGGGAATGCTCTAACCACTGAGCTACAGGATTACTCCCAAACAGGAGGA